TCTTCTATAGTCTGTTTGGCTCAAAAGCGGACTGAAGAATTGCAATCTAACTCGAAAACTAATAAACTTATAACACTCCATGAAACGTTGATCATAATCAAAACATCAGACCAACTCTGTGATTTGTGAGCAGAATTTATGTCCTAAAATTAAAAAAGTTGTTTAACAAACTATCACTAAAATATTAGAGAAGCATGTGCACAAGTGCCGACAAAGTTAATGATTCATTAACCTGTGCTGTGCCGTCTCCATCCTTTCTCGCACACCTGGCTGTCTCTTTCTCTGCACTCCTCCCTCGTGCAAAATAGTGAACTGTGTCAATATTTTAGTGATAGTTTGTTAAACAACTTTTTTAATTTTAGGACATAAATTCTGCACACAAATCACAGAGTTGGTCTGATGTTTTGATTATGATCAGCGTTTCATTGAGTACTATATGTTTCGTAGTTTTCGAGTTAGATTGCAATTCATCGGTCCTATTTTGAGTCAAACGCACTATAGTTACAAGTGCACATAATCAGTCCTTTGAAAGATTGATTGGGAAAACAACCTCAAACCATCTGCGTCTGGACAAGTTGAACCTTCTCAACAAAAGGCCGCCGTGATATTGCTGGAATATTGCTAAAAGCGGCGTAAAACCAAACTCACTCACTCACTCAACAAAAGGCGCTGTAGATTAAAAAAATATTTGGTTCCCTTTTGCAGAGAGTGAGTGAGTATGGTATGACGACTTTCACAGTTATTTGTAATATTTGGGTATGGATCTTCACAACTCGTACATTTGAATATGAATAACTTAGAAATGCAAACTTAATAGTTTAGTGACTAGTGTTTTCTGCCCCTCGTTCAGCCTGTCCCAAAGGAAAGGTTTCAGGAAGTCTTCCCACCACATAGCAGCCAGGGCGTTCAGACAGGAGGACATTGTGCTACAAGAAGGTGCAAGAAGGGGTATTATCACAAAGCAATGCGTGTATGAAAATAGATAAACAAAAAGATGGTAAGTTTGATTTCTGACCCTTGACCTACCTGAGTATTTTCTACATTTACAAAAATATATTATTTAATATTTATATGATATTACTATTCCTATCTGAACAGTTCCTACCTGTGTGCGCCACTACACTGAACAGTTACTACCTGAGTGTTCCACCAAACTGAACAGTTACTACCTGAGTGTTCCACTAAACTGAACAGTTACTACCTGAGTGCCCCACTAAACTGAACAGTTACTACCTGAGTGCTCCACTAAACTCACTCACTCACTCACACCTGAGTGCTCCACTAAACTGAACAGTTACTACCTGAGTGCTCCACTAAACTGAACAGTTACTACCTGAGTGCTCCACTAAACTGAACAGTTACTACCTGAGTGCTCCACTAAACTGAACAGTTACTACCTGAGTGCTCCACTAAACTGAACAGTTACTACCTGAGTGCTCCACTAAACTGAACAGTTACTACCTGAGTGCTCCACTAAACTGAACAGTTACTACCTGAGTGCTCCACTAAACTGAACAGTTACTACCTGAGTGCTCCACTAAACTGAACAGTTACTACCTGAGTGCTCCACTAAACTGAACAGTTACTACCTGAGTGCTCCACTAAACTGAACAGTTACTACCTGAGTGCTCCAAACTGAACAGTTAAAGTGCCCAACTAAACTGAACAGTTACTACCTGAGTGCTCCACTAAACTGAACAGTTACTACCTGAGTGCTCCACTAAACTGAACAGTTACTAGCTGAGTGTTCCACTGAACTGAACAGTTCCTACCTGTTAGCGCAACTGCACTGACCAGTCACTACTTTAGTGTTCCATTAACTCATTCACTCACTCACTCATTCATACCTAAGTGTTCCTTCCACTGAAGTGAACAGTTCATACCTGAGTGCTCCACAAAACTGAACAGTTCCTACCTGAGTGTTCCACTAAACTGACCAGTCCCAACCTGAGTGCTCCACAAAACTAAACAGTTCCTACCTCAATGCTCCCTAGCTCAGTGCTAATCTGTAATGAACAGTTCCTACTTGTGTGTGGCACTATAATTAGCAATTCTTACCTGAGTGCTCCACTGAAGAGACAAGAGATGGACAATCCTGGGAGACCGGGATACCCCAGCACCTCCATCACAAAGTAAGGTATCAGCTGGAACGGAAAGAGTGAGTGATTGCGTGAGTGTTGTTTTACCTCATTTATTGACGACCATGGATATCAAAAATGGGTTTCAAACAGTTGTTGTAAGTAGGAAATCGAACACTGCCCTTGAACGCTCGAACCTTTCCATCTCACGAGAGTTCGGTTGCTCAACATGATAAAATACATTCACACTTTTTTCATTCAGACAATGATACTCATTTTGTTGTGTTTGTTTGTTGTTTAACAACGCTCTCAGCAATATTTCAAGCTATGTGACGGGAACCTATGAATAATCAACTCTGGATCAGACAATCCAGTGGCCAACATCATATGCATCGATCTTCGCAATTGGGAAACGATGATATTTGTTAATGACGTTAGCGAGCCTGACCATCTGATCCCGTTAGTCGCCTCTTACGACAATGATAGGTTGATGAAGATCAATTCTAACTCGGATCTTAATGGGTAGCTCATTCTGTGATGACGTACCTGGCTTGAAGTACTGATGTAGTGGCTTACATATTTTGTAAGAGTAATAGATTCCAGACAGAGAGACGATGGTCAACAGGATGTTGATACCAATCACTTTCATCACCCCAGTTCTGCAATCAAAGATTGTGATACATCGGTCAAACCTAATACAACAAAGCACAAACATATTATATTACGTTAAGTGTCAAAATAGTCCAAACTTAAATTCTTAAGTCGAATAAAATCAGGCCAATTAAATCTTCGATTCCGAAGAATATAACTGGACGCAATCTGCGGATAAAATCTATAGTAAAGCATCTATTAAGATAATGTCCACAACAATCATTGTTCTCTTGCAACAAGGTGCTGGTAAAACAGTGTTATCAGTTATCACTCAACTCATGAATATTTAACAGGTTCCAGGCAACCTCCTTGTGGTGGGTACTTGGTAACGCTAATAGTTCTTCAGCCCTGTGTGGACCCGGGAGCATATAGGTCTACAGCACCCAATTGCTGGTGTCGGTAAGACGAATTGGCCAACGTGTTTGCCGTGGGTTGCGCCCCTGTGTCGGTGGAGGGTGGTAATCTGGTGGTTGAGGACAATTGGAGCCTGGAACCGTGTTCCATTTGCCCAACACACCATTTTTATCATGACTTCACCTAGATGGGTGGTAGAATTGGCCAGATTCTCGGCTGGTCACGCCAAGCCCTGTGCATGATGACTATATTTGCACATTTTACTTATTATTGGGTCTTGGTAATTTCGATTTCTACTGTATAAATGATTGATTATGTTATATTACCTAGAGTCCTATGCCAGAAGGTGGTGGCTCGTGGGGAATCTGGTGATGTTGACCTGTGAATAATGTATGTCTCCAATTCTGTTTCATAGGCTGAACCAGTCATATTCTCTGGAGTATAACACCCCTCTACCCCTGGTGTCAGCATCTTGGAGATCCGGTGCATATTGACACTGTCCTTGATGACACTCCGTGGTGGGTAGGGAGCAGGGGTACCGAACTTTTTCCTTTCATCATGGCACTTCAACCTTCTGGTTCATCTCGAAAAGAAAAGACGTTTAGAGGATCTAGATCCCTCTGCTAGAAACATTGGGCTCGATTTCTGATAATTGAAGCTGCTGATTTTCTTCCAATCAAGTTAAACCTGTTTGCTATTTCAAAGGCTATCTCCGGCATTTGTGGAGCAGTAAAAATGTTACTCGTCTCCATAGTGGCTCGCTTCTATGTGGAAGTGATCACTTCCCCACCATTCTCAAAACAATCATCCCTGGTGATGATCCATCTTTATCAAGAAGGAACTTCGCCAGGGCTGAATGGTCATTATATCAGAGACTATGTGCTGATCATTTACAACACGATTTTTTTGCGAATAGAGAAGATCATATACACCTGTTTTGGATATGCTTAATGACATTGCTTACAAAACTATACCCAAGTCCTTTGCAATTTCATATATTCGTAAACCATGGTTTACTAATGACTGTAAACAGGTCAGAAAGTGCAGGGAGAAAGTTGAAAAATATTTTTGCTAACATTTTTCAGTCCAAATTTAGATACAGTTAAAATTTTAAATGCTAAGGCTCGAAACACATTTAAACAGAATAAGCGTTAGTCTTGGAGGAAGTATGTTTCCAACATTAATTCACGCACACCGATTTCAAAGGTGTGGAACATGATTCAAGGAATGAAAGGCAAAGGCTCAATATCCACTTTTCACCATCTTAAAGACGGTGAAAGTGTCAATAAGACGGTGACAATTTATTAAGCTGAAACCCTCGCCAAGCATTCTTCTTCGTCAAATCATGTCCCAGAGTTTAAAAAAATTAGAAACAAGAGGAGAAGAAACAGAATAAATTTTAAACAGGACAATGGCGAAGATTATAATGAAAAATATTTTTATTACATGCGCTCCATGGTGCCCTTGAACAAGCTCATGATACAGCAACAGGGGCTGATAATATTCACTGTCAGCTCTTGAAGCATTTGCCTTATTCATCTCTGGAAATCCTTTTGGAAATATGTGATCACATATCCGTAAAACCATGGAACAAATGGTAAATAATAATTAACATTGTATCTTGAAACCAATAACCTTATAACTTTTCTTCCACATATCATATAATATCTCAAAAATAAATGCATGAAGGCCCTTGACTTGTTGAAAGTCATCATCATCATCATCATCATCATCATCATCATCATCATCATCATCATCATCATCATATATTATGAAAACATTTATATAGCGCCAATTCCAGTAGCGCTCTCCGAACAACTCAAGAAAGAAAAGTTAGACACTGTATGTTTTCTTAAAAAGGTATGTCTTCAGTTTGGATTTGAAAATCTTCAGGTTGATTATTGTCCTTAACTCCAGTGGAAGTTGATTCCAGAGACTGGGTCCTGCCACCTGAAATGATTGATCCCAAACCTGGTGCTGGACCTAAAGTGTGGGACAACAAGAAGACCAAGATTTTCAGATCGGAGACTTCAGTGGGGCTGATATCTGGTGATCAGGTCAGATAGATACTTTGGAGCTAGGTTATTGAGACACTTGAAAACCAAAATATTGAGTTTGTATTGGATTCTGTCTGATATGGGAAGCCAGTGTAATCTCTGCAGAACAGGCGTTAAGAGAGAGTATGTCTGTGATCTGGAGACACGTCTAGCAGCAAAATTCTGTATGCGTTGCAGCTTTCCTATTCAGAATTGAGGCAGGCCATAGAGTAGACAGTTGCAGTAGTCCACCCGAGATGAAATATACGCATGGATCAATGAACAGGTTGTCCTCTCATCAAGGTAGCGCCGGATTTGCGAGATGTTCCGTAAGTGGTAGAATGACTTGCTGCATACTGACTTAATATGAGCACCCAGAGATAAGTGGGAGTAAAAAAATGACACCAAGGTTTCTAGCCTCAGGACTTGGGACAATGATATGACCATCAATATGGAGGTCTGGTAGAGGAAGATGTTCAGCAACTCGCTTTGAGGTAATGATGAGAACTTCTGTTTTCTCTCCATTTAGCTTCAGCCAGTTTGTTGTTATCCAATGTTTGATTGCCTGTACGCAGCTCTCAATTTGTGCATATGCTGCAGTGGATGACAGGCGACAAGTTGGCTTGAAGGAAGGATACAACTGTGTGTCATCAGCGTGAAGGTGGAATGAAAGACTGTAACACCTGGCTATGTCTCCTAAGGGACAGGTGTACACTGTGAATAACAAGGGCCCTAAGACAGATCCCTGCGGAACTCCATAGACAAGCTCCTTGGAGTCAAATGAGTTGTCACCGATTACGACACGTTGGTATCTTTCTGATAGGTATGAACGAATCCACTGAAGCGCTGTCCCATTGATACCTACTCTTTCCTTCAGGGTGCTGATGAGGATGTCATGGTCGATTGTGTCGAACGCTGCTGACAAATCTAAAATAATTAGAATTGCAGCACCATTCTTGAAGGAGGTCATTTAGGACTCTCACCAAGGCTGTTTCCGTACGATGGTGTGTACGGTATGCAGACTGCAAAGGCTCCAAACAGTCGTGGGCAGTGTTGTGTCCTTTCAGTCTGTGTGCTACCACACGTTCCAAATTTTGGAGACAACAGGACGATTTGACAAGGGCCGATAATGTTTCAAACTTTCAGGATCGAGGTTCGGTTTCTTCAGCAGTGGGGTGATAACTGCCTTCTTAAGAGACACAGGAACATATCCCTCAGACAGATGAGTTGAAAGATGAAAGTCGTTTCCAATTTTAAGTGGGGAGGGGATCAAGCTACCCTCCTACACCTATACAATATAAATAAGAATATGATCAATTAAAGAGTAAATATAATACATACCAGTCCTTATTTACAGACGGATCAAAGAATGGTGGCGCAGTTGCTTGTGCCACTGTCATTAGATCCAAAACATTGTCTTCTCGATTACCAGATCACAACTCAAGTTTGACAGCCGAAGGAAACGCCATATTAACAGTGCTTAAAATATATTAATAAACATCCCAAATATATGCAAACATCCACTTTTAATTGAAATTATTGAATTATATAATGATCTTGCTACTGGCCAGTAAGACGCCGTCATCTGTTGGTTATCCAGCCATGTTGGAATTTCTGGTAACACATTGACTGATTTCGCTGCTAAGGCACCACTTCTTAATCCATACTCAGATTTAAAAAGCTACTATTAGATTTTATGTCCGTACATCATACAAATTAAGTGGGACACCCAAGTAGGTATAAATACGTTACGTGAAATTAAACCAACTATCGGTTACACCTGCTTGGTTTGTCAGTCCAGATTTGAAGAGGTCATTATACGACGATGTCGCATTGGCCACTCAAGATACACTCACGGATATTTGTTAAAAGGTGAGGATCCTCCGTTTTGTATCCCTTGTGATGAAAGAATCACGGTCAAGCATGTTTTGCTTGACTGTATAGATTTTTCCATCACTAGGGATAAATACTTTAGTGTCAGAACATTGGAGTATGTTAATTATCATTTAATTTCAAAAGAAATAGATAAATATTTTATTATTGGTAGTTTAGATTAGTAACTGAGATTGTTAGTGGCTGTACCCTGAAAGGGGGTTGAAGTATTGTAAACTTATTCTCCCCCTGAGAGGGTTTATAAGTCCCCAAACTTTCAAAGTAAATTTAAACTTACTACTTATTTAACCGCAGTATATATATCACTTTATTTTATGGCTAGATTGTCTAAAATTGCTAATGGCTGTAGGGATGGTGTAAATCCAGCTAGGATCCACGCAGGAAGCAAATATACTGTCCCCATGGTCTTAGTATGGTGATACACCTTCAGTTGTTGGCAATCAATAGCCTTTTTATATTGTATTGTTCTCTTTAAAAATACCGTATTATGACAACATGCTAGTTTAATTTATAGTTTTATATGTGAAACACTAGTAATTTTACTGTTCTTCGTCAACGGACTTTTAATTTCTTATTGTATTGTTCTATAACACAAAAATTCATTGTTCTCGTTACGATATGGCTGACATATTGCCGATGTGACTATGAATATTTTACTTACTCACTCACGCACTCACTCACTCACTAACAGGTTCGGCATTGATTGATCAGGCACAAGTTTCCAATAACAGGAACGACATAACAAGAAAGAACAATTATGCTGACGTCGCGGCTTCGTAGAATCTTTTCATCAAAGTAACATCTTCTGGAAAAGGTCGGGACGGGTTACAAATAATATAGAGTGCGGTGGGGTAGGCAAGTGATTAGAGTGTTCGTTCTTCACGCCTAATACCGGGTTTGTTTCACCATATATGCACAATGTGTATTATGGATAGCAAACCCTTTATTTATAATATGTACAAGTTGGAAGTACAAGATGGTAGTACCGATGATAGGCAGGAGGGTAAAAAACTGAAAAAATACAAAGTTCAAATTTAGTCTACAAAAAAAGTGAATATGCAAAGACAAAATACATTGATAATAATGTATATGTCCTGAAATATGCCTTGAAGTCCACACAATACTTAAAACAAGTATTTCCCTAAAGATTAATACAACGTCCCAAAACTAAACAATTTCCCAAATATGAAATAATGAAATACACACTTGAAATAGGCTACGCAAGCTATTATTATTTCATACAGATTAACAGTTAAAGGGAAGGAACTCCGAAAGTCTTATACTGAATGTAAAACTGTATATTTTATGAGCACTTTACTTGACGACTTGAACAAGAAAGTTTGGCAAATTTATACCTAAATGACTTACACATTTAACAAGAATGCTAACTGTTTCTACAATACCTAACTCATGACTGACTTAAACTACACATGCTGTGATATAAGTCGAAAGCTATATACACTGTAAAATCCTGTGCATGAATTATGCCTGATCGAAAACCAAACAGCGCTACTTTGTAGATTACCATAACAAACCTATAATTGGTTAACATGCCTAGACTGACAATTAAGCACCTAGATTTACATGAAAATACAAAATATAACTTAATACATACTAGCTCGTTGTTGTGTATGGTCCTAATGTGTTTCCAAACAAAAGCGTTTCTTGAAAATTGGTCCAAACCGGATAATAGTGGTAAGACTGGTTTTGTTTATATAGAATGCGCAAGAAATAAGGCACCAGGCTGGTTTAGTTTATAGATTGCGCAAGAATAAAGCGCTGTTTCGCACATGAAAGAGAATAATGTGTGCAGATCATATCATAATGATATTGCTGGAATGTTGATGAAAAGTAGCTCAAAGCCATACTCATTCACTGACTAAAAGGAAAATATAACACGAGGTGACGTTTCTACACTATTTTAAGAAGGTGTGGCAAGGTATTTTATTAGCAAAAACAAAAGATTGGAAACGAAATCCGAAAGCATGTTCCAAAACCAGCATCATTTTCCGAAAGTTTGCGACGTTCAGAGATTTCGTTAATTGGTAATACACCAAGACGAAATCCCTGTTCCTGACTTTCCATAGGGTCCTTACAGCTTGGCCTTCTGAAGTGTTGGCAGTGCACAGTAGCGCTGGACACTGGCCTGGTTGACCCCGTAGGTCGCTGTCCAACCGATCATCCCACCGACGACTAATGACCAGAAGGAATGGCCGACTGTGGAATCTGGGTCAAACTTGAAACACAAATACACATCTCAGGGGGAATAAACACTTTTTCATTGTTCCCAGCTGTATGTAGACGATTGTGTTTGTTTGTTGTTTAAAGCCGCACTCAGCAATATTCTAGCTATATAGCGGCGGTCTGGAAATAATCGAGTCTAACTAGAGGAATGTTATACATACTTGAAGATCCCTTTCGGTCGGGGGTCAGGCTCGCCCACACATGTCATCCTATCCCAATTGTGTAGATTGATGCACATGCTGTTGATCACTGGATTGTCTGGTCAGACTCGACTATGTACAGACCGACGCCATATAGCTGGAATACTGCTGAGTAGGGCGTTAGACAACAAACCAACCATCCATCCGTTTTTGTGTAAACTAGTGGACTTCATATGCTTCAGCTCACAGCCAGCATCACTGACTGCTTCAGTGCTGGTGGCTTGGAGATGTGATGCAGTGTTGGGTTTTGAACAACCTGTATTGCACAAGAATTCATTCTTAAGTCTCGAAAGTTGATAGGATTTACATTGTTTGTCTGAGTTCAAAGTGTTTTCAAAATTTGATGTTGCAATTGCCTCTGTTCGTCAGTGGTTAAAACTGTGATTCGGCAGAGGGATCGGTTTCAATGACAAACAGACGCAGTCACCGAACGGGATGCGCATTATCATTATCAAGTACATTTGCTTTATCAGATGCCGCTTCGTTGAATGTCATCAAATGACAACTCGGCCTTGCGAACTTATATATCTATTGTTAAGTGCGGTGTTTAACTACACAAACGAAAAAATTACAGATGGTTGTGCAATCATCTTACAGTGATGATTCTACATCAAATATTTAGGTGGTTACAGTTTTAGAGTTATTGAGCTCAGGTCTCCTTTCCATGTGACTGATGTTCACATGAAAAAGAAAACATATATAGATTTTCTGTGCAAATAGCGTTGCAACGAAGCATGCAATGAGCTGTGTCACGTTGAACTTACCTACGTTCAGACAGACTTCTTTATATCACGGTTACTTGTCACACCTTCATGGGAGCGCTGCTGTAGGACAATCATTTCGTTGGCAGTTGGAGAAACCGTGAAGACAGGCTTGCTCAACTAAATATTTGGACATCTGCTGAAACCCGAATTATGCAGATGTATTCTATCTCTCGTCTCAGCATCAACTTCATCTCCTTCGTTAGTTTAAGTATGTGGACTTACATCACTGTCTCCTGCACGTCTTTGTATGCCCGCCGCCTCATGGAGTACGACGATAAGAAGGTAGTGCAGACTGAAATGCACACCTTCACAAATGGGACCCTGATCGGCTGTGCCAGAGCATGTTTAGGAGAGAAGTACTGTCTCAGTTTTCACTTCTATCGCGACGGGCCAACCTGTCTGACTCTGCGGGAACGTCCTGACAGCGTTATGGTGACGCCAACTGATGACGTCATTGGGTATCAGCTGTTTCTGACTGATAAGCGTAAGTATACAGTTTGTGTTTTGCTCAAGTAAATGAACTTGGTTTTATGCCACTTTAAGGGACATTCCAGCAATATCACGGCGGAAACACCGGAATTGTGCTTCAAACATTGTACAATTCAATGATACATATAAATTCATTAGTTTTATCAAAAAGGACAAGATCAGGTTTGTTGGCTGGAATTCTTCTGAGGCTGTGTATTGGCCTATTCCGAAGACATTTGACGCCCTGGACATGTTCAGGGTCGTACCATGGATGGACCTTGGTGTCAAAGCCACAGGCATGGCGAAGACAGTAGTAGAAGCAACATGCCATGCCATCATGCCATCAAGATATGTTGTTTGTGCCAAGGAATGGCAGCCACTGACAGGGTGTTGGGCAGTCTCTCTAATTTCATTACACATTCGACATTTCAGATTAATATATTCTTTAAGAATCACATTTTGCCGATTGCGAGTGGGAAGTGACTGGTCTTGGGCAGTTAAAAGAAAGCCCTCTGTTTCACATTTAAGACCAGCCGTTTTCATCCAGGTGAAGGAGTCGGTTGGATTGCTATTCTGTTCCACACACTGCATGTACACACGATGCAATGGTTTCTCAGAAAGCTTCTCCACAAATGTCTGACTCTGGGCAGACTTGGTGAAGGACTTCACCCGGTTTACTCCCATCGCTGTACCGTCCAGCAGTACATCACCATCAGCCAATTCAACCTCAGATTTCAGATTCTGTCCATCAGACATGATTTTTCTGATCAAGCGATCAAGACTCTGGAAATCTGGTTTTGTCTGAATCAACTACTCCAAAGGAAAAGGAAAGGACTGGCACAACCAAAGTATTGGTGGCTTTGAACGTGTTCCTAGCATTTAGCTCTGAGCTCCAGATTTTCTTTAAACGTGTGTTACATGTATACTCGGCTTGTAGTTTGTCTTGAATCTGGACATTCTGGAACTTGTCTCGAAATTACATTCGAAGATAGGTGTAGCCCTGATCTTCCGGAAGATAACCAATAACCACAAACCCCACCAAATCCCCATTGAATTTTGTTTGTTTGTTGATTTAAACAACAAAGAAACTCATAAATATTCAAGATATATGGCGGGGGTCTGTGGATAATCTAATCTGGACCAGACTGTCTAGTGACTAATATTATGAACATCGATCAACGCAATTGGGACCTCATTGCTCAGCAATATTCCAGTTATATGCTACAAAGCACCCATGAAAAATAGGATAGTTATTACATGTTCTCAATATATTTAGTAAGAGTTAATGTATGAAGAAGAGCGTTGTTAATTGTTAACGTTTTATTAAAGCAAAGTTAATGGAACACCTGGCAGCGGTGCATATTTTACTCTGAATGATGACTTCAAGTTTATTGCTAAATTTTGTTTGATATCATCCCTCTTGTCATACACCATTATTGACAGCCTTTCTGATCTGACTATATCCTAAACATGTTTATACATTATTCAACAATACCACATCGTGAATGAATGTCATTGAAGGGTAGCATGATGTAACACATGTTCTTCCTACCCGGATAGGTGGTGCTCACTGGCGTTGTGTGATACACATACAGAAATAAGAGAAGCAAAACATAATTTACGCCGCACTCAGCAATATTCCAGCCACATGGCGGCGGTCTGTAGATAATCGAGTCTGGACCAGACAATCCGTTGATCAACATCATGAGCATCGATCTGCGCAATTGGGAACCGATGACATGTGTCAACCAAGTCAGCGAGCCTGCCCTCCCGATCCCGTTAGTCGCCACTTACGGCAAGCATGGGTTACTGAATATCAATATTCGAAACCGGACCTTCACGGGTCTGTGAGTGAGGTTAGAAATATTCTATCAATATCACCTTGGGAGACACCAGAAATGGACTTCACACGTACCACAGTGGGGAATCGAACCAGGGTGTTCAGCATACATATTAACTACTAGGATATCCAATTGCCCCATGTAAATTAAGAAAACAGAGCATGTGTCTGGATCGTTTAATAACATTTTGGATCAATTTGTACAGCATGAATTTTGTTATTGAGCCAATAACCGTGCAATCCGTGTGAAATGTCATACACCCAACATTGTTGAAATTAAGTTTTTCCTGGTAACATGATGTCCTCTCGACTTTCGATTTGGATTGAATATTCTGTACCATAATTGTCATAACACGTCATAAATTGTCAGATGCCTACAACTTATTGGCATGGGATATGCACGATTGTCCCTCAGATAAATCGGACATCAGGTTAGGCCCATTCCCTCCGTCATCTCAGGATTCTTGAACAAACGCTGACCTACCAATGATGGTAATTATCTTCCAAGGCCTGGCATTCACAGTTAGACAACAACAAGAGAGGACTGAACATTGTTGAGACTTCATGGGACTCAAGCATCTCGTAACAGTGGTTACCTGGGAGAGCCATTTCCTGTTTTAAGACAAGTGAAATTAGTATTGCTTTCGCATGAAATGAGGTCATTTTCCAATTTTGTACAATATCCAAATAAACCAGATTATCTGATGATTGTCGTATGTTTGTTTCTACTCAATTCGTTCTGTTCATTACAAGATTCATAATGTATGGAAGTCTTTGACACATTTTATACAGCGGCTCATTGCAGCTTAAAAATATGGATGCTGCTTAACCAATTAAATGATTTCAAGGTTTATATTACTGGAATAGCTGCGTGCATGTAGTACTTTGAAACGTAGTGACATCTTGCCTATAGCGTGTTTCTGCTGATGTACTGTTAGATGACATAATATATTATTCTACAATTTCATACTAGATAGCGTTTTGAACAAACATCCCTTTCATTCTATGTTAAAGCACTTACTGACACCATCCTTCTCTCTGGCAACAGGTAGGAAACATCAATACTTGGTACATAAACCGTTAATGTAGCAGGGACTGGAATCATCCCACAGATAGCATCCTAACCTCTTTGGTCATGTGGACAAGGCGTCCGACCCCAGCATGGGACTCGTACATTTATAGTGGGGCTGGGCACGATCATATGAAATTGGAGCAAAACAAGTCTCAATTACACTGCTATGCGGTCCAGGGACGGGCCTTCTGTTCACGGGGGAGTCAGCTTGCTAACAGGATTAACCTTCTTGGCCCTGTGGACAAGGTGTCCGACTTCCGATCAGTAACACGGGATTCAGAAATTTAATGGCTGCTACATTAAGGTCAAAATCTATACAAAACATATAACAAAATAACAAGCACAAGTAGTTATGAATAAATAGAGTTTCCAATGGTCAGTTATGTTTACATGGTGATTGCTATGGCATTACGGTAACTAAGAAGAAAACAAGCTGTTCTCCAGGTGATCGAGCATTAACTCAGTTCTGCCATTCTTTCAGCTTTGCCAGTGGTTGGTTCCGACTGTGACCTGGACGTGGACTGCAAGTCTGTGATCAATACCCGCTGTCACAGCGGTTCCTGCAGGTGTGACGTTGGGCATCGCCTTCATGGAAACATATGTCAGAGTTACTCAGGTACAGGTACAGGCAGCAACCATTTTCAATAAACTGAGTTGAAAGTGAGAGCCACAATCAATAAGAATATTTCATTCAAGCAATATATATATATGCATTATTATTTATGTTTGTTTTCTTTCAACAAGGTAACGTAACATATCAAGGTAATATTTGATTTCACTTTCTTAGTCAATATATTGCAAAATACTTCATGCACCAAGTGTGGGCTTAGATGTCCGATGGGATATCATTCACATGTGGAATTTTCACATTACTGCGAACGGGAAATTTCAATAAGCATAGATTCGGTCACTTTTCAAAAAGCATTGTCTTTGCAATCACCAGCATAGACCTTTATGCAGATGTACACTTATCAAATAGAATTACGTCAGGTTACTTGAATTAGGTCAGGTTACGTGGAACATGAAGTCTTTGAATGGCATTTAATATGATAGATTTAAGGAAGAGAGTATTTATGGATGTCAACTTCTTCATGATAATGATCGTACCATTTCGGATAATATATACTTACTCAATATATACTACAAACAAAAAGTATGGGAACACCCTGATATGTGATAGTCATGTATAAATTTAAACGTGGTGAGGCCATTTATACTCTAGGGTAAATGCAACTTTTATGTGCTTAATGGGCATTTTAAACGACATGGTAGAACATGCAGTAAAGCAACTGAAACACACCAGCACCATGTTTGATTCAAACGCCCAAACACAACAGCCTAGTGCATGTGGAGACTTCCCAGCGCAGACCGTTAAGCAGGGCCATTGCATGGTTACAGGATGGTGAATCCATAAGAAGTGTCGCTCGCCATCTTCAGGTGTCTCCCTGTCATTCACATACAGAGAGACAGGTTCCAGGTCACTGGTAGATTACAGGACAGACCTCGTGCCCATTACACACACAAAAAGTTGCATTTACCTATGAGTATAAATGACCTCACCACGTTTAAGTTTATATGTGACAATCAAATTTAAGGGTGTTCCCATACTCTTTGTTTGTATTACACAAGCATATAAAGGAAAACGTTGTATGCCTCATAATAAAGAGGTTGACAACCATAATCCCTTGCTTACTTGGATCTTACTGCAAATACAGTAGCTACATCATGTATTTTTGTAAGGAGTTATTTTTCACACTGGAAACGTCTTTCTGCTTCTTTAGATATGACCCAAAATTAAACACAATATATATATGAAGTGCACATGTAAATCAGAGATTCTTGAGGATTTGGGTTGATCTTCAGCCACCCTTGCTTATTGTAAGAGGAAAATGGATGGACATGACATCATATTCCAGCTGGGTAGATGGATGCTCCTGTCAATCACTGGTCTGTCTGGTCCAGATGTGATTATGTGCAGACCGTCGTCACGCAGCTGGAGAATTCCCAAATGAGGAATCAAAATATCAAACACATTGTTGAGCACAAGTAAAATGCGGACGTTTTCCAGGAGTGGTTATACAGATTTTCATCGTGTCCAGCCATGTTCACGGTGTTCTCCACCATATCAATCCTTTACAAATTTGGATATTCGAGACTGTGGTGTACAATCGCATCCTCGTGCAAATTTGTTTGAGAATTGGGTGCTTCAGGGAGAACAAGATGTGCTTCCCCTTTTGTGAACTACTGCAGGCATCACCTACATTCAGATCCTGAAGACCCGGGCGAGAATCGCTCTTCAGTAACCCATGCTTGTTGTGAAAGATAACCTGGATCGATTATTTACAGACCACCATAATATTGCTGAAAAATTGCTGAATGTGTCTTTTACCAACAAACCAACAAAACCGTTACTCAATGAGCATTTTCCATGTAATCGTCTCCACTAAATAGCCTTTTACACCCAGTTGAACATGGAGAAACTGGTTATTCTCTGCTCGTGACGTCACAGCAAATATTTACAGAACAATACAACTCAGAAATTCAACGATTAATTCGAGTAGACAGAAACTGGCAAAAGGTTGTTCACATTTCAGTGGCATGTGCGTCATTCCCTGGCTATACTTGGGATGTTGACAGTGGCATATGCTACATGGTCGAAACAATGGAGGCAAAGAACTGGGATGAAGCTGCGAGTAGCTGCCGCTCCACTCAGGGGAATCTCATACAACCTAACACTGCTGCCAAGATGAATCTCGTGAAACAAGTAATCACAGGTATGAAGTGAGTTAAAATTAACTGTGACTAATTGTATGTCGACAAAAGACAGTAAAAGAGAATGTTGAATACCACACTCACTAGTAAGTCAAAGAGGACTTGCTTTCAGGTTGGTCACAAATAGGGCTGTGCAATGCGATATTTAAAAAACAACAACCAGCAGGCCTACAATCAAGTGGAACTTAAAAATAAGTCGATGTTATGAGTTTCAATTAAGATGGAATCACGTGCCACTCTCTGGAGAATACTTGTGCATTACGTAAGCCCATGGGTGTCACCGCCATAAAGATTTCAATTGGCGATACCAACTAATTTAAAACATTATTTTAAAAAAGAACTGCCTGAGGAGCATTCTAGAAGTTGTGAATAATAGGAATGACAAGTATTTATGGATGATCAACTTATTTATTGTACAATAGTGACGTTTCGGTAAAGATACTTACACATTTTTCAAGCTTGAAAACGGTATAAGAATATATACAGAAACGTCACTATTTTATCATAAAAGTCTATGTACGATATTATCGATAACCAAATTTTCATATCAATAATAATTAATAATTTTCCTATCGACGATATCCGACTATCAATCATTTTAGCCAACCCTAGTCTTGATAGACAACTCGAGTAGGTATAACAGAACATTAAATAATTTCAATGACGTTGGTGTACACCTACTTGCTGTCTAAGATCGGCTGAAACGTCTAATATACTCGGGGCGGTGGGGTAGCCTAGTGGTTAAAGCGTTGGCTCGTCACGCCGAAGACCCGGGTTCGAATCCCCACATGGGTAAAATGTGTGAAGCCCATTTCTGGTGTCCCCGCCGTGATGTTGCTGGAATATTGCTAAAAGCGGCGTAAAACCAAACTCAGTCAGTCAGTCTAATATACTCGTTGATATACAAGCCACAACGAGAAAGTGTGCCCACAGGAAATTAAAATATATGTATTGGAATAAGATGTTACTTATACAAATGTAAACACAGTTATTGATCAATTGTTACTTGAATTAGTCACATATTCATGTGCACTCAGTAATATTCCTGCCATATGGCTGTAATCTGTAAATAATCGAGTCTGGACCAGACGATGATATATGTCAGACAGACAATCCAATGACCATCATCATGAGCATTGATCTACGCAATTGGGATATGATGACAGTCAACCATGTCAGCGAGCCGATCCCGTTAGTCACCTCTACTACAAGCATGGATTCTGAAGACGAGGGCCTTCAGTCACCCTCAATCTTTTTGATACGGGTGTACGTAACTTGATTTTGGATACAGAAGAAGAAGAAGAAGAAGAAGAAGAAGAAGTATATTCAGTATTTGAGGTCACATGGCCAAGAGTACAAACATATGAGAACAATATTGTACAGATGGACAGAAAAAACATGTAATTAGTTCATTTTCATACAGGCAAGTTAGGCTTTAGAAATAATGCAACTGACTTCAATAGATGTGCATTTGTTGTTGTTAAAAGTTGTTTAAATTTTAATCTTGATGGGAACGTATGGTAATAACTAGGTAAGTACAGTTTTCTGTGTACATAATAGAATGGACACACAAGTAAAAAATGGAATTCATCCCGTGTAACGTTAAAATCACATTTGTCACATATCAGTACATTGGAATTTATATTATTATTATAACGCTGTTGTTGATATTTAACTTAAGGCTTAAACAGCGGAATTTGCATAAAATGTGTATAAGGTCTTTGTTGTAACAAAGTTCCAATATGTATTTTTCAGGTTCCAGGGCGGACTTGATTGCTCCATAGTCTTTAAGAAAAGATGAAGATGTTATCCTAGAATGCCAATTTTGAATTTCAATATCTTGGCATCTTTGTCTAAATTCACTTCTAAACGTTTCTATATTCCCACATTCCTGTGTAATCCAAACATAAGAAAATCCAGCTCGGAATAAAAGTAGCCACACATGCGTAACCCAGTTGCAGCTGCCACTATCGTCTTGCAGCTTTAACATTTCATAACATGATTTTAGATGTCGATTATCGTCCATATGTAATATTCTGCACCAATATTTGATACATCTGACGTAATATTTAAGGTATAATTTAGTTCTGCCCATTTCACCAAGTATAGCATTGGAAGAAACATTTTTATTAACACACAGAAAACGTTTGAAAAGGAAACAATGGATTTTCTCAATGTGAGGACGACATGAATGTCTCCAGATTTCACTACCGTACAATATTATTGGGGATATCTTACTATCAACTATTGCTGAAGCAACTTTCAAACACATATGTGGAAAATCTTTAAACGTTTTAAATATAGGGAACGAGGTTTTTTGGGCTTGAAGACTTAGTGTTTCACATGTCTTCGACCATATCAATTTTGTGGTAAAAACAACACCTAGATATTTATAGCGTGATACAACATTCATTTGATTTCCATTATAGAACCATTTTCTGTTTTCTTAAGATATCCACCATTTCTAAATACTACTATACAAAATTTGCCAAGATTGACTTCTAAACCTCATTTTGAGCAAAAACAATACAATGTATCAAGTTTTCTTTCTAAACCAATAACAGTGTCATCAAGTAAGTTAATATCATCTGCAAAAAGCAGTAATAAAATATCATTTAAACCATCTTTGACAAATATTCCTCTTAATCCACAATTATTCATTTCATCCACAAGCTCGTTGATAAAATAAAGTATAAACAGAGCTGTGCTAAGCATGCAACCTTGCTTTACCCCAGATGATGTGTTAAAGATTTCAGATCTCTTATTTCAAACTTTAACAAAAGCTGATACCTTATCATACATATCTTTCAGCAACTTGAACATTTTACCATGGACACCTTTGGTGAGAAGTACATACAAAAGCTTATTTCTTTTCACCAAATGAAAGGCTTTTTTAAGTCAATAAAAGCTGCATAAAATCGATGTTTGGGTTTTCTTAGATATTTTGGGCATAGAGATTGAAGGACAAATATGTTATCGACTGTTGAATAGTCAGCTCTAAATCCTGCTTCACACTCATGTAAAATCTCATGCAGTTCCATCCAGATACGAATTCTGGAGTCAAGGAGAGAAGCAAAAATTTTACCCATCATATTCCACAATGATATGCCACGATAATTGTCGGGTCATGCTTATTACCCTTCTTATACAATGGTATAATCATACCGATGTTCCAAATGCCTGGAAATCCGGTGTCTAATACAGCGTTAAACAGAAATTCTAAGTATGGAATAATGAAATTTGCATTTGTAATAAACTCAGGTGGTATTCCGTCAGTGCCCGGGGATTTTCCGATCTTAAGGGATTTGGTTGCCTGTTCTGTTTCACTTCTAGATATTGGATCTGATAAGAAGTCTTCATTGTCACAGTCTGAGCAGTCATGACTTGATATATACTCACCAAAATTGAAAACGCCCCAGTCTAAAATTGTCAATATTTTCACCAAGAAGGATTTCAGCATGACAATGATCAATGAATATAAATAACATGAAGTCGAAGGGCATGTCTAGTTGAAAAAATGCTTTAGAAACAAATTCATGTTCACAGTATGACTCTTAATTCCAAAACGCATCAACGTGCAGCCACTCCATGAAAAAAGCGCGAATTTCATTCTGAAATCATGCTGACTGTGACATTAAAAGCAGGTGTATGAGAAACGATTCTCATTGCTTCACTAACAATCGTGAAACGAGGACAGAGATGCCGACGTTAACACCTCACGAAAGGGAACGTGCACAAGGCAAGATTCTGGTTGGCACCAGCATCAGGGATATTACTCGACAACTTGGACTTGGCCACTCCACCATCGTTAGGCTTCATAGACGACAACAGCAGAAATGCAGCACCCGTGACCTTCAACGACCTTAGCAACAACGTGTCACGACGCCCCGTCAGGATCGCCATATTGACCTTTGGCCTTATCCGTGACTGGACACTGCCGACTGCCAGGACTGCTGCACTAGTTCAAGGTCGACGTGGGGTCATGAGCTCAGACACCATGCGACACCGTCCACACGCTACAGGGCTCCATACTCGACGTCTTTACGTTGGACCAATTCTGACTGCAGACACCGTATTGGGCGTATACAGGCATGTTCAGAAAAGGTAACAACAATGGCATGGTGTGGTAGTCACTGATGAGACACGTCTTCATCTACGTAATGCTGACGGCCGACTACGTGTTTGGCGTAGACGTGGTGAACGTTATGCTGATGAGTGTGTGGTTCAGACAGATCTTTGGGTGGTGGGAGTATCATGGTCTTGGGTGAAATAAGTTACAATCACAGGACTGCTTTCATGTCTGTCAAGAGAGAGTTAATGCCCTTTACTACCGTGACCAGATTCTTCAGAATCACATCGTATCATTCTTCAATCACCACCAAGATGTCCATGCTTTTCAACAGGACAACGCCCGGGAACACGCAGCTAGACTTTCCATGCAGTATCTGGTCCAGCAAGACATCCAGGTTATTCACTGGCCAGCACTGTCGCCAGATGTATCCCCCATTCAGAACTTGTGTGACGAAATCAGTCAGAGTCTTTCGCGGCGACAACAGTTGCGAACTATCTGGGAACTTGAGGCTGCGATATTGACTTTTCGATTGGACACCATGTGTGTTTGATTCTTTCTGACTGTGGAACAATTAAATGAGTGAGCATCTTTTCTATGTTGTTGCTTTTGTCAGTCGTCCATCTGTTATTATCCACTAAAAAAAATATCAATTCCTTACACGTGCAGTCTAAGTAAACTTAGACTCAGTATTATTCGTTACACTGCTATACTGAGTCTAACAAAACCTTGTGGGAGGTCGCGTCAGGTAACCTTTGAGCGACCTATGACCGTCCAATCAAACGCGAGATGGCCGAACGTATTTAACTTATCAGACAACAACTATTATTAAGGGTTCGGCGGGACTTACTAAACGGATTTTCTCTTTCCCGTTCACCTACCCTGATCTCCCAACAAATGAAAATTACATAAAACACAGATATTTGCCCTGCAGTATATACGCTTTGGGGTTTCTGTTGACATGGCTGTCATTAGCTAATATTTCAGCAAGCTGACATGCTTGAATACTTTCAAAATGCTATTTTTAGCGACTGTTTACTCACTGCTGTGGTGTGCCTCACTAGGAACCGATCTATTCGTAACTACGCGTGTCATTCTGGCAAGCCGGATGGCGTGTAGGTCACGGAAAGAGGCGAGTAGTTACGAATGGGAACCGATCGTACGGAAAATAGCATTCAGAATCGTTCGGTACAAACTTTGTGGAGGTAAAAGTTCAAAAGGTATGTGCGAATGTCAGCTGTCGCGATTTGGTAAGCTGTGTTCTGATTGGTCAATTGTAAGTGGTGCGTTTTCAATGTTGGTGAGTATATATTCACGGGCGGTTTCATCAAAACCTTTATCATTTATTCCCTCCCTAATCAGTTGTAAGGGATTTCACCTTAGACCAAAACTTTTACAAGCACCAGCTGCTACACATATTGCATCAGCAAGCATGTTACTAAATTGTCGAGATTCATCCCGGCATACACTTTTGACACTCCTCTTTGCATCAATATAGCAATTAAGAGTTTCTCTTGACCGATACCTCCGAAGTGTGTTTAAGTGAAAGAATATAATTTTGTGTCTTAGCACACTTACAGTCTTGAACAAAGCACTTAGGTTGTAAAGGCTTTTGTTTAGCCACTTCATACACGTCAGTTACGTCAGCTGCATTCGTTCTACCAGCTTGTCCGCTGCAGCATTGATATTTACGTTTACCAACTGTTGAAAGTCATCAACAATATTAGATGCTACATCAGACGTTATGTTGACACCAAATTGATAGTCTTTGTTCTTACCTGCCTTGAATGTGTCAATTTGATAACACTCTATGCTTCCTTCATTATCGTTGCTATCGGCTTCTATCCCTGCAACAACACCGAGGTTTATAGTGCATGATAATGGTAGGTTATCTGAGTCTGGTCGAGAATGCACAGTCATGTCTGGAATAGCACTAAAACAATTTGTTGAAGCCAATATGTAGTCACGATCGATTATGAGTAATACAAGTAACGGACCCCCTCTCGTCCTCTTGCTTTCTACCATTTACAATGTCTATGCCCCACAGCTTGCACAGTTCTAGGAGAGCGAGACCAAACGTATTAGTTACACTGTCTTCAGTTCAGTTCTAGGTTCGTTGAAATAGTCGGGTAAATAGAAATCTGATAAAGGGAGATAATCAGTGCCATTATCATTTTCAATCAAATAATCGTCGTGTCTTTAAATGGCATTTAGAAGTGAATACACATAAAGGCAAGAGTTTTATGGATGTCAATTTATTTATACAAATAATCGTCATTTGAACCAACCGGAGCGTTAAAATCTCCGAAGAGTCCTATTGGTATGTCTTCACTATAATTTGCTCTAATGGATGTCAGTTTTGATTATAGTTCATCAATATCGTTTGAACCAGTGTCATTGTAGAGCGGGGAACCATCATGTATAGAGGAAACCAATAATGCCAATATCATAAATATAGAAAAATACACAATTTTGTCAGGTAGAAAAGATTATCATGTATAAATGGCTGAAAGTGCTTCTTATATAGACGGCAACTCCGCCAGAATATCGTCCGTAATTGCCCAATCTTCTCGCAGCAGAGCTATGACAAACATATCCAGTAAAGAGTGATTCAAGTTCGCTCATATCATGTTTCATGGTTTCTACCAAGACAAAATTGTCAAATGGTTCACAAAACTGCATGAATGAATTGATGAATGGATCCCCTGAACATTCCAGACACAAATGTTCTGGATTAGGTTGGACGTTGTGGCTTTATCTTCTAACGTTGGCGATGCATCCGGTTCCAGAGGTTGGCCACGGCCGTCTTCCTACGAAGAAACTGACGCCCCTTGGGTACCCCCGATGCCATCCACTCAAGGCCCAAGATCCGGTGTGCCCCGGCGGGCGGTAGAGGATCGATTACTGGTCTTTCTTATGGCATCTTTGTCAAGGACATAAACGTCGCCCTCTACCACGACCTTATCATAAGAGAAGAAAGGTGGTTTCACGAGCCTCTACCTGTATGGTATAAGAGAAGTTCTGATCTTTCTTACTTTCTCAGTGTAATCATTTGCTACATGAATCAGTTCATTTCCTTTAAGTTTAGTTTTTGCGAGCTCAAAGACGCTTACCTTGTCTTTGTATGACACGAGTTTTGCGATAATGGGCTTGCGTTTTCCTTTTTTCTTGAGACGATGGGCTCGCTCGTTGGGGACAGTGTCTGCATTGTCCATTCGAAGATGGTCACGGAGGAAATCTCTCACTAGCGTCGCTGTCTCTGACCATTTCTCTCCGAATACACTCTCTATCCCGTGAATGATTACGTTGTTCCTCCTGCTCTGGGCCTCTTCTTTATCAACCTGATTTTCAAGTCTAGCAAGTCTATCTTTGTGTTCAACATTTTCTGCTTTCAACTTAGAAAACTCATCTGATATTTCTTTCCTTACTGTATCAAACTTCTTGTTTAGTTTACTCATGTCAGATCTTATCGATCTCAAGACTTGTGCCATATCGTCATCATAGTTGTCTGATTCGCCGTTGTCCGAAAGTCCGTCACTAGCAAAGGCGAGTGTAGACTGCCTGGTCCCCACACTGGGAGCACGTTGCAACACACTTCGAGATGACGTCGGACAATTGGATATATATGCATGACTTTGATGTACTTAATTTACCTTCTTCACATGCACACTTGCACATTTTCAAGTCAAGTTATTCAAGGTGTTGGGACGACGATCACACAAATTCTTTCCACTCAAGTGAATGAGTAAGTTCAAAATGAGAAATAGTTGGAATTGTCTCGACAACAAACCTCCTCTGATGTGAAGTTTTCTGAATATTCGCCTTGAGTTAGGTCCACAAGCGAAGAAACAGCCAATCCAACCTTGCCAGCATTCAAGCGAATCACCAATGTTGCACGTGAAATTTACAATCTTCACGCTTGAAGGGTGAGTGACAGATATTGACAACGCATCGACCTTTGACAATGAACACAACTTTTGGTCCTAAAAGTCATAAAATCACTTTTGATGTCAAATCTAAGTTTACGTATGTACCTGCAACGTTGTTAGGAAGGCGATGTAGCAGTCAAATCAGTGATAACTATGTACATGTCATTTTTGTGAGCTCGACATCAACACAGCCGGTCACACCTTACGCATGCGCACACAATTTCTTCAAAGGTTATTGTTTACATGAAGGTTGTGTCATGGAGAGGAATCTCTATTGTGGGGGTTCAGTGATGATTTGGTTTAGTTTATTTGTTTGTTTGTTGATTAATGCCACACGCAGCAACATTTCAGCTATATGGCGGAGGTCTGTAAATAATCGAGCCTTGACTGGACAATCCTTAAATCAACAGTATGAGCATCGATCTACGCAATTAAGATACGATGACATGTGTCAACCCAATCAGCGGTCCTGACCACCCGATCCCGTAAGTCGCCTTTTACGACAAGCATGGCTTGCTGAAGACCAGTTTTAACTCGGGTCTTGTTTTCAATGTAAGATCAATATGTTCTGTCTCTCATGACGACTGCACTTTCTTTGTGCTTATATCACCACAGTTCTCCCAAGTGCTCATAAGAATAATCGAAAATATAAATAAGGAATCTGATGTAATTTTCGAACGATTTAGGGATGCAGTTTTACCTTCTAACAGACATTTTATGTCGAATTATAATTCGATGCTGAAGAATATTTGGCTAAAGTTTCACCTAATCGTTTTACGATGATAACTTTAACTGTCGGTGTATCATGACAATCTTTCAGTTGGTGAACTTTCACCCTCAACTCTTTGATACTGGTGTACCACACTCCGGCACAGCGATGACTTAACATAACATCACTGTCACAGACTAAGTTGCATATCACGTGACCGGACTTTTCTCTTGTTTGTAATCAAACGCGCATATTCATAATAAGAAGAGACTGGACTCACGAACGCTTTTCGGCGCTCTCTTCATAATGTTTTACATTGTTACATGTATATTCTTCCACAACTGCGACAGGTAGGTCTATGCCTACATATTTAGATATCCAACTGACTGCATCGTTCGCTCTCCGTCGGCTTCGATGACAGCCCGTGGATCCGTACAACCTATGTAAACAAAGGATCGCTACGCAAATCGAAATAGTGTTACATGTTTTTGGATATTTTTTCAGTGAAACTAATTCATTCTATTAAAGATGTTTAGTTAGATGTGTAGACTCGTCAAAAATAAAAAAGAGTAAAAGAAATCTGTACATTATATTTAATGGACATTGCAAGATGTGACGAATCGTCACATTTTTGTGGCCTGTGGCAGAGGTACTATGCTGGCTTGCCGCATGGAATTCTGGGTAGGAGACAAATTCTCCAAAGGTTATTGTTTCAATGGTTCATCGACACTTTGTACTATTTATTTTTTTACAATTATTTGAACTTTGATTTAAAGGTAACGCTTAAATGTTCAGCTTTATCAATGTTGTTCAAAGTTAACTGTTTTTATTTGAAGGTGTCAAAGACGTGAGGACATATTTTAAACAACATGTAAACTGAAATATCTTCAAGACAAAGTGCAAACGGAAATATTGAATTGAGTTTTGTTTTCTATTACAGAAAAAATTTGGATTGGTGCTCAACTTGATCAGTCGGAGTGGAGGTGGGCTGACCGTACGGTCGTGAATACGGCCTTTTGGGCGCCTTCCCAACCCAGTGGAGACGGCCCGTGTGTAGAGATTGTTCCGTTTGAGGCTTTCTTGTGGAATGACGTACGCTGTACAGCTAAGAGATTTTACGCTTGTGAAATTAACTTTGGCTGAATTTCACACTGTGTTCCTCTATGGATTTTGTCCACTTTAGCCTATGGAGCTCCTAATTTATGACATGCTCCTCACCTCGTTATGACTAACGCAAGTCCATCAGTCAGTTTTTAAACCATTTATAGTTTCATCTTCAGAAAGCATCAAGGAGTAACTGACCTATTAGGATGCATAACTTCTGGATATTACATACTTGTTCATAGCGCAAACCACAATCAATATATTACTATGGATTGAAACAAATAACAAAAAGCCTGTAAAATTCATTTTTTTAGAACGGACATCAATGCAAAGGCAACTGACCTAATATCAAAGCAGGAGTAATGCTTAATGCATATTGATTAGTATGATTATGGTGATTATTATGATTCATAGTTATTACGTTAATTAACTATAGGTTGTCATCTCTTTATTTGCGCTTTAGACTGAACATGACGTTTTAGGTAATTCAGTGTTCCACCTAGAAAACGTAATCTTCAAAATAAACAACATCAGTTTTCAGCTGTATCTACCAGTGGTTCTTTACTTTTCAGCAGTTGAAGTCATAAGGTTCAATAACCATAGTTTTTCAAAGAGCAGGTAGATATGTGTTTGTTAACATACACGTGGCCTCGGATAAACGACTTCTTCACGGACTCAAACATAAGGAGCATAGTTACTTTTTTATTCACTGTCAACAGGTTTCTTTGAGACGTTACACAACTATAACTGTTTGAAATGCATATTTTGTAAAGGTCGGGTCATGTGAATCAAAAGGAGCAGTTGGAAAGCCTAGTGGCTCGTCACGCCGAAAGCCTAGGTTCGATTCCCCATACAAGTCCCCAAGGTACAATGTGCAAAGCCCATTTCCGGTGTCTAAACTCACTCACGCATGTGAATGGAACTGGGTCAAACACTGAAAAGGAAATTTGAAACAACTATCGCCAGTAATGTGGGTCATGACGTCATGTTCAATTGCTTTTCAAAGTCAGGTGTGCCTTTCCAGTGAAGAGGTTACAGTGAACAATTTTGTTAAAAGAAAAAGTGAATTTAAATGTTCTGATAAATAATAATATCAATTTTAACGACATAAATTTAATTGTGATTGAATAAATGAATGTTGTTTTAAAAGATATAAAAATGAACTGTATTGCAGTTGAGGCATACATTTTTTGGAAGTTATAATAAACCACTGGAACACCATGTTCATTGAATGTCTTCTTTAACACATCAATTGTTGGGTAACTGTAATAAACCACTGGAACACCATGTTCATTGAATGTCTTCTTTAACACATCAAGTGTTGGGTAACTGTAATAAACCACTGGAACACCATGTTCATTGATGTCATCTTTAACACATCAATTGTTGGGTAACTGTAATAAACCACTGGAACACCATGTTCATTGAATGTCATCTTTAACACATCAATTGTTGGGTAACTGTAATAAACCACTGGAACACCATGTTCATTGAATGTCATCTTTAACACATCAAGTGTTGGGTAACTGTAATAAACCACTGGAACACCATGTTCATTGAATGTCTTCTTTAACACATCAAGTGGTGTCTTTTGTAATCTGGATTCTTGCGTAATGCTCTCTAAGTCTCTGATTGACCCGTGAAGTCCCAGGTTAGAATTGATCTTCAGCAACCCATACTTTTAAAAGGGGACTAACGGGATCGGCTTGTCAGACTCGATGAGTTGGTGAACACATGTCATCGTATCCCAATCCCACGAGATGCCGAATAGATATAAAGTAACCTGAATGATCCTCCCTCTTCTACCAGGATAGTTTCAGATGTTCAATGTTGTTGAACACTGAATTGTCTGGTCTAGACTCCATTATTTACATACCGACATAATATTGCTGCAAAATTGCTGAGTGCCGCGTTAAACAACAAACTAAAAGAATGAAAGAAAGATCTTGGATCTGCCCTAGTGTACTTTGATATTGGAGTAAGTAGTCATTAGAGTAAACATGAATAAATACGTTCTATTATCACAAGAAATTGATGATACAGACGATGATTACAGGGCATGACATCTCCCGATCATGTTATATGTATCAAACAATGTCGATACCAGATGTTCTCTTTCCTCTGAACAGAACAAAACATCCATTGACAACATATTGGGATAGTGTCAAGTGCACTGACTGACCGAAGTTTAGTCACTAATCCCCATCCACATCAGCGACATCGTTGACAGCACCAACTTCACTCACCTGTCGTCAGACAATACCTTCAGACCTGTGAAGGTGAGGGTTAGAATGAACCTTCAGTAACCTATGCTTGTCGTAAGAGGCGACTAATGGGATCGGATGGTCAGTCTCGCTGACATGGTTGACAGTTGTCATCGGTTCCCAAATGCGGGGACGATGCTCATGCTGTTGATCACTGGATTGTCTGGTCCATATAGCTGGAATATTGCTGAGTGCGTTGTAAACTAAACTCACCCACTCACAAAATACCTTCACAGTTGCCACACTTTACACCACATTTTTGTCCCCATAACTGAATGTTTTCTTCGAATTTCTGACAAGCCAACTTGTGTCAAAAGTGACAGAATTCAAAGTTACGGATGATTTCATTTGATTTTGCATTTTGCATTTTGATGTTGGCCTAGATTGTCTGAGACTGACCACTGGCCTGTTCCAAAGAATGATATAATCATGTTTCATGATGACCCCAACATATTCTTGTTCCAAACATAGCTGCAACTCAATGAAAACTTCAAGCATACTGAAGACGGTAATAAACGGATCAAACCACGTCATGATATCGTTTAAGGTATTGTGTTAATACCAACGCTTATCACCCACTGAGGTAGTGTTGGAAGTCTCTTTATATTTGTTTCGTGACCTACATTTCATGCTTACATTTGACCCATTTCTGGTGTCCACCGCAGTGTAATTGTTGGAATATTGATAAATGCGTCGTAAAACTACATTCACTCACTTGGACGAAACACAAACTGTATACTTACGCTTATAGATCTGAAACAGCAGATGCCCAATATCGTCTTCTAACGTCACTGTATTCCTGTCAGCACGTTCCTGCAGAGCAAGACAAGCTGACCCCGCGATAGAAGTGAAAACTGAGACAGTACTTCTCTCTTAAACACTCTCTGGCAACGTATATAGTCTTAAACACTCCCTGACAATGTATATAGTCTTAAGCAGCAATGAGAACGCCTTCTTTTCCATTTTATGGTCAGACGACTTTATTCAAACAGTTAGACTCTGCAGGGTTGCTCGTTTTGTCAAAACACTGAATATAAACTCATTTTTGTCGACATTCTGTCTCCAAGACGTATCGCAAAGAACATACAGGCCTGCCCGTCCACGAGACGCCGAATATATTCACCCCAACGTAACCTGAATTATGCCCCCTCTTTTACAAGAATATATTTAGATGTTGCATTTTTCTAATCCATAGACCATGCTAATATCATTTGAAATATGAACACAAAACGGAGAATCTATTTTATCACTGGATTCTCCCGAGGCATGAAGTTCAATGTGGTGGGAAGAGGTGTTGGGAATCTATTCTGAGGACGTCTGATTTGATAACTTTCATCCCTTTTCAGCATAAAACCAATTTTACTTCTTCTTCCCCCACTTCTTCCTCCTATTCTTCCTCTTCTTCCTTCTCCTCTGGTAAACACCAGACTGACAAGGTTTCTACGCCGCATGCATAAATTTCATCACACAACTGTTTGTGTCTGCTTTCCTGTCTTTTCGATACGTTTTGCATTGTGTTGGCGAGTTTCTGGAATAACCTGCAGGAATTTGAAATACCAGTGCTAATTTCCATCTTCATCAAGTGTGGGTCGTAATGTGTTCAATGAAAACGGATATGAAAAGGGTCCCAGTAAACAATGTCAATATACTTGAGATAAGTATGTTTTGATAAATGTCTGTATGAATCGCAATAAGATAAATTGTTTTTATTATTTGTGATTGACTAAACACTTGATTGGTTTCACATGTGGACTAACAATGTGTTTATCAAGTAAGACATCCAAGAAATTAACTGTCACAGGACAAGGAACAAAGTTGTTAAAACATGTGTTTGATGCGTATCTTCTGTTCGTCTGAAGACTTGAAAAAGTACCAAAAGATTTTCTTTAAGCTGAATCCAGTGCTCGGTTTTGAATCTATTTTACAGTGTTGATTCAGTTATTCACTATTAGTGATATTTATACAGTTGGAGTCCCCATGCATCATGCCAGCCAGATAAATCTTAGTTTGCTTGGGTGAGGTTAGTTTCAACAGAAACACTGCGATCAGCATTGGAATTCACACACTGAAGTAACCACAGTAATCAACCGAAGCATGACGTGCTACAGTTCTCAGCATGAGCTGTGCATGTTGTAGTATAGATAACTGTGGGCGTCTGGTGGAGTTGTTGAAAACATTCAAGCTGAAACGGTACGTACGCTAACAATCAATAACGTTTCCCATATCATTCCTTTGTATGAAGTCCCCTAAGTTGTATAATGTATAAGCTGTAGACGCAATAAACCAAAATAGTTCCAGCTGAACGAACTGCTTAGCGGAAACATAATATTGACTTTATGACAAATGAACTGCTCCTTTCTAAATCCACTCATGATAAGATATTTATAAAGACATTTTGAAAAACCATTATCACGATCCAAAAGTCTGTCCTTTTAGTCATTTTGTGCTTTCAGTACATTCACTTTGCGTCCTCAAAATGACTTTACAAGGCTGAAAACACGCGTTCGTTACAATAACAACCTGACCCGATGCATGAACGCATAATTGTCGCCCTTGCAAATGCTAATTGTGTGAGTATCAGTTTTCCCATTCAGGGAGATTCATTGCGATTCACAACAAAAACGTCCACAGAAGCGCCATTATCGCAAACGTCCCTTCTGGGACTCCATCTCTTCTGGATAGATTGTCAAGATAACGTTGTGATTTGATTTGACATTAGTTACATTATAGTGGGGTTGAACTGTATGTCGTGGTTGTGTGGTTGTGTGGTGTAGGAATCAGTGTAAAGCATGCAAAGTGGGCCGAGTGCACAAGAGGAAGCATGGGAAATGTGGCTCTTGTTTAATCAAGAATGGCAATTAGTAATAGATAATAGTTCACAATACGACTACTCGTTACTCTAGCCAGAGACATGTATATCGTTTATAACATTAAACACATTGAAATATCCATTTATACGTTTTAGGTTAGGCTTGATCAACATAATGGTAAACGAAGGAAGACGTGCTTGTTTTTATATTGAAAGATGAAAGAGATGCCCTCTGTGTAATTTAGTTGTGGAAAACAAAATTCATTTTTATTTGTATGTCCTTTTTATGAAGCTTTGCGTACCAAATATATAACTGAATATTATCTATGAAAGCCACCTTCGTAGGCTTTTAAAATACGTGTTTCATCAACAGACCGGCATGTAATAATAAAGCTGTCATGCTATATTAATTATGCTCTTATTAAACGTAACAATTTGATATAAAGGTTTGTTGAGCCATCGTAATTCACTATTTGTAAGGTAATTTACAGTAACATGATTCGCTGTTTGGATCACTAATTACAACCTATTGCAAAATATGAATAATGTATATGTATAACTCCAATGTATGTTGGCCGGATGTTTTGGTAAATAAACATCTCTGACTGTATAAGGTGAATGTCAGGTGTAATCAGTGCAGTCACGAGAGCGCACACCTGTGGTATGGTTGGCTGCGGTATGGCCGTTGGAAGAAGTGGCTGGTTTTATCTCATGACGTGAGTAGATTTTGTGAATTATTTGTAAATGTTTATAATTATGTATCGCGTTGCTTTATAATGTTCCAATGTACAGATAGTTGTGCGGCATAGTGAATTAACAAAGGAATTAGCACTTAAGTGTAAATCTCAACATCGAACTGTAAGTGATTTGTTGTACAGCTGACAGTCGTAAAAGTATGTACAACATGGTGGTAATAATGATGTGTTCAGGTGTTCAGATGGTTATCAGCATAATCACTTGGGATTTATCACACCTGCGTTAGGTTTTATCCAACGAACCCGATAAAACCTAACAAGGGTCTGATAATTCCCAGTATCAACTTCCACGAATGTGATGACGCATTTTTCTTAGCGAATGTTTTAAGCTATCATCAATAAACTCAAACAGAAATGCACCAACATCTCTTATTCATAAAACAGCTGATCAACTGACATAGAATAACCCATGAATATATCACGTGACATGCACCGACTTGGACGCACGCTTTATTCATGTAGCGGGATATAAAACATTGTCTGACCTTCGGAAAATTTATGCACCGGGTGGGCGGTGTATATGGAAATTTGTTCAGGGTCACGTGGACCAATCAGAGGTCGAGGTTCTTACACGAGATAGGATAGTGAAAGCTATAGTCCGTTCGGCTCAAAAGCGGACCGATGAATTGCAATCTAACTCGAAAACTAATAAACGTATAATACTCAATGAAACGCTGATCATAATCAAAACATCAGACATACTCTGTGATTTGTTTGCAGAATTTATGTTCTAAAATTAAAAAAGTTGTTTAACAAACTATCATTAAAATTTTGACACAGTTCACCATTTGTTACGAGGGAGGAGTGCAGAGAAAGGGACAGCCAGGTGTTAGAGAAGCACGTGCACAAGTGCCAACAACGTTATTGATTCATTAACTTGTGCTGTGCCGTCTCCATCCGTTTCTCGCACACCTGGCTGTCCTTTTCTCTGCACGCGTCCCTCGTAACATATATGTGAGTTCTTTGTAAAAACGTCCTTGCAGCCACCAATAACACTCAATTCATTTGGCACAGAACAAACCTGCGTTTTAGCTGTATATAATACATTATAGCAATACAAAAATAAAGCCTTAGAAAACAGAAAATAGCTGCACAATCTCGTCACTCACTGACTGATGGAAAAGGAGAATTCAGTTGCACTCACATAGATTATTCACTGGGGTAGATTGATGTCTAACGTATAAATGGTCAGAGTACATACACTGATGAACATCTAAGCACCATGTCGAAGCGTTGCGCAGCAGACCCATGGAACCAGGCTGTTCTTGTTCTTGTTTGTTGTTTAACGCTGCACTCAGCAATATTCCAGCTATATGGCAGCAGTCTGCAAATAATTGTGTCGGGACCAGACAATCCAGTGCTCAACATCATGAGCTTTAATCTACACAATTAGGATACGATTACATGTGTTAACCAAGTCAGCGAGCCTGACCACCCAATCCCGTTGTTGGCCTCTTACGACAAACATGGGTTGCTGAAGTTCTAATTCAAATGTACACCGATCCACTGACAATAAGCTTGCCATTAGATATTACAGAAAAGATATAATGCAATAGAATAGGTGTCAGTAAGTTACGTTAAACCAAATATCACCTATATCTACTTGGGTTGTCAATTTCGTCCAGCAACAAGGCCATATATGTCCTGCTTCACTGTGTTGAATTTTCATCACAATTCTTTGGAAGAATTAGAATTATTTGGAATGTTTTCATTCACGTAAATAGAGAAAAAGTACTTCATAATTGGTAGGTTGAATGAGCAACTGAGCTTGTTCGTGGCTGTATCCTAATAGGAGGTTAAAGTAAAGGGCCCGTAAGGAGATCACGGCACTTCGCAAGATTTTAGTACTTCCGGTCACAAACGTTTCATACCTTGTCGAATAGCATCATGGTTGTCAGCTGACAGTAAGGAACCGATAGTCTTTGCAGCGAAGAACTGGTTCTTGAATATACGCTTGTCCCTGGATATCTAGTACCGGAAATAAGCTTTGCCCCCGTCTCGCATAACGCAAGTTGGCGCGCTAAAAGGGAGTCGGAAAACAGCTTAGTATCGGAAGTAGCGCCACGCGAGCGTTACAGGCCCTATTGTAAAATTATTGTTTTCCTGGGAGAGTATATTAGGTCACGCTTTTCAAAGTTTACTTGAACCTTACGCGTCTTCGCATCGTGCTATTCATATTATCTTGTCAAACTCGCCAATGCATGAAGAGATTGTGTAAATCCAGATTCGGTCCATGCAGGTAGCACAGTCCCAATGGTATCTTGAACCTTCAGTTGCTGGCAATCTATAGCCTGTTTATAAATGCTATTCTAAAAAGTTGTGAATAGACAATATAAGGGTGTCACAACTATTTGTTTTGTATACATGTTGTGCCATGATAAAATACGAGGTAAGAGGCACATCAGATTAAGATTTGCATTAGTTTGACTACCATAGATTGTGTTAGATGGATGTTTGTCCCAACTGCCCATCATGTCATTTGAAATGAAAAGACATTCTTATTACTATCGCGTGAGTCCGCCTCTTTACCCAATACCTGAGTCAACGAGGAATACACCTAATCAAACGTATGTTTCAGCTTCGTTCATTCCGTTACATTCTGGCAAGTTCTTGGCTCAAGGATGAAGTCACAGTGATCCCACCCCACGCCGATATGCGTCCTCAGACTGCCAACAAACTAAATGTTCTTTCATTTATCTGTGTCTTTGGCGAACAATAGGGATGATCAACAGTCTTTTGGAAGATGTGTTACGTCATAATTGTGCCTCTAAAGGAAATCTCCAAGTTGGTTTAGGCCTGATCTTCCATATGTTCAATAACTCCATCTCCAAGTAAATTGACTGAGAGTCCTTCTCTACTGCCGCGTTTGAGAATGTTGACTGAGAGTCATTCTATTCTGCCGCGTTTGAGAATATTGCATCAGAGGAACCCGAGGGACATGCCAGCGTCATTGAAAAAAGGAATCGATTTTCAGTGTAGCTTCTTTATTGGCAAAAAGATCAACGTCGTCTATATAATTTAAGCGAGGAAGTTAGTTATCTATGCTGAGTAGGTCCAGGCTGATAACATTCCTCGTGGCTGAGGAGAAACCTATGAGGTTTAGTGGCAGACAGAAATTTAAAGGACTGAATGAATCGCTTTGAAATATTCCTAGAAATGGTTCCTCGCGTCAGCACCAGCCCCTCAATTTGTGTTGGCGAACCATTCATTAAAGACCTGCGGGAAATACTTAATCGTTCAGGGCGGTAAATGCATTCTCGTGACTTTTAACCATTTGTTAGGTACGGAATCACAAGCTTTCTTTATTACGTCCAACACACCAAGAGTTAGTGCCGTTGGGAGTCCAGCGCGGCGTCGATTATCAACCTTACGCGTTTAGTTACTACGTTTTCAGACCCAAGGTCCTGATAGTTTGAGACAACTGAAACGACAGGGCAATAGCATTTTGATTTAGACATGCGTATGTAACCGTTCACCACAAGACAATCTTCGTATGGTCAAGACTGTTACTTTCCTTGTGTTGAAGGGTGTTTGATAAACTCTGTTTGAGCGTTTGTTTCCCTCAAAACAATATAATACCTCTTTTGAGCCAACCCTTACACGGTCTCCTCAAGGCCAGGTTCTTCATGATTGTCATATGTTGTGTTTTGGAACTCGACTCTTCGGAAAAGGTTTTGTTCCATAACTAACATGCTCTAATTGACAGACATTGAGTATGTTCTTGTAGTGTCACCTCAAAAACAAGAAATCCCCAATCTCTGTGTACAGTATAATTTGTTTAACATAAACTATACACGATAAATTACGTTTATTCTCATGTGAAACAAATGGAATTTTTGAATTAGTTAATATCAGTGTTTGAAAATATAAACTGATTTGTGTTACAATGAAAGCACAACCCTCAATATAAGTACTGAAATGTTATCCATCATGAAGTATTTGTTTGCCGAGTTAAACAGGCCAGAGTTGCTGCCCTTTGATTATGACGTAATTACTCTCGGGAAATGTGCAAAAACGGAATCCAAATAACGCAAAAAATAAATTAGTTACTTCTAATATATCTATTATTAGGCTATACACCTCCTTGACAAACATTTTATAAAGATGTAGTGCAAGAAAAAAGTTGTTTTTTCCTCTAAACGTGCCCTTTAACTTGCAGATATTTGGTGAAATAGAGAGACTATGATTATAACGAATTACAAAGGACATCTAGTTTAGTTCGCTTTAGCTCTAGTTCGTTATAAGCATTTGGACAGAAATATGCAGTAATTGCCAGGGACCCAAAAACAGTTCGTTATGAGCGTGGTCGTTATAGACAGTAGATTTAGAACTTTGTTCCATTTTGTTGTTTCTCATCATTGAAGACATCGGCGGCTGGGTTGTTAATTCCGGTTTTGGTTTCGTTATTCTCTAGATGAGATGATCCATACTCAGGTATGTGACCCGATCCACTCAGGGGTAACTTCTCCTTGCTAGAACTGATGTCTTCATCGTCAGGCGCTGGTGTCACAATTTCCTCTTTCTTTTCGGATGCCAGCCCCTAAAAAACAAAAGACACAGAGGCACAATTCAAACTATATAAATTAATTTGTTGCATCCGTTCGAAAAAAAGTGATTGGAACATTTTGCAAATGTCTACTTCTAACAAAACTGAGTTGAATTCCTTCTTAAATTAAAAAAAACAGCTCCAGCACCATCCGAAGTCAACACGTCAACAAGTCAACACTAGACCAACATTGAACTGCACCTTTGACAAAGCAGCCACTACCCGAGTCCACTGTGGTTACGAATTGAACTATACAATTAAAAGTGTGTGTGTGTGTGTGTGTGTGTGTGAGTGAGTGAGTGAGTGTGTGAGAGAGTGAGTGTGTGAGAGTGTGAGAGTGAGTGAGTGAGTGAGTGAGTGTGTGTGTGTGTGTGTGTGTGTGTGTGAGTGTGTGTGTGTGTGTGTGTGTGTGTGTGTGTGTGTGTGTGTGTGTGTGTGTGTGTGTGTGTGTGTGTGTGTGTGTGTGTGTGTGTGTGTGTGTGTGTTACCTGCTTATAAAATGAACCTGAGTGTAAGTAAACCGTCACCATAGATTTAGGAACAATGGTGTCACACCCAAAAAAAATAATAATAATAATAATAATACACCCTTTTCACAACACGACCTTAACCGGTCAATCTGTGCCCCAAATTCATGTACACCCTTTTCACAATACGACCTCAACCTGTCAATCTGTGCCACAAATTTGGGTGCACCCTATTCACAACACGACCTCAACTGGTCAGCCTGTGCCACAAAGTGAGTAACACCGGACTTACAAGACTACCTCAGCCGCAGCTGTAGACAACTTTGGGCCAAGATACCTCTCTGTATGACAAAACAGGGCTGCTTAGATCTCAGTGCAGTATGCCAGCACAAGACCAATGCACATTACCCTGCAGAAATATGCGAGACAGCCAAGCTCTCTAGTACCTCTGGGTCTCTGAACTCCTGGTTACAGCGGAGACACCGGCTGACGGGGTCGGGAAGGCAGCAGATGAGTCGGTCGAAGAAAGGTACCAGATACTTTGTGTCTACATCACCAATGCTATTCATTCCTGGAAGTATATGAAGAGAGGGAATGGTTTTCAGTGAAATCGGCAGTTACTGAACTATATGACGGTAGATTTAAAATTCATAGCAAGATTAAAAATAATTTACCTGAAGGAAAAGTTAAGCAAGTTTATTACCCATATGGTGAAACATAACCAGTGTCATATATATCATATGTTTGCATGGTTAGAGCGTCCGCCCGGAGAGCGGAAGATCGCGGGTTCAATCCCCGACCGCGTCATACCAAAAGACGTTAAAATATGGTACTTGTTGGTCCCTGCCTGGCGCTCGGCATTAATGGGTACAAAAAGGACTGGTCGGCTCGGAGTCAGTATACTGTGTCTGAGTGGGGTATTCATGCTTCACTGTGGCATGGTATCTCAGTGAGCTAGGACTATAAAACCAGCTTAAGTCTGGGCTAGCACAAGCAGCCGCACATACACATACACACGCATGCACGTCGTCATATGAGCGAAATATTCTCAAGCACAACGTTAAACCCAATTTCACCTCACCTCACATGTTTGCATGTGCACATGTCACTTTTGCCTAGCAACCATTGTTTCTGTATTTCGTTATCTGTGACGTCATTACACAATTGAACGTGACGTCAGTGAACAGGACAGTCACACTTACTTACCGTGTTTTGCCGCACATATGTACATGAATAAAATTGATAATAAAGAAGTTAATTTACACTCACATATTTCACACTCGTTTCGTATGACACACTTGTTCGTGGAATAATGTCTATGTAATTGTATGTGAAAAGCATCTGTGAAAGTAATTTCAAATGACAAAGAATATTATAGAGTCAGTAAGAGCTCCAGGATATGTGTAAGTTGAAAGGAGCATGCAGATTTACTTTACGCTGATGACTGAGATTGTAATCTCTAACACCCAACCCATGTCCCAATTCCCTGCCTTTTATTCTCAATCAAGACCAATAAGAAGGCCTTCACCTAAAACCGACAGAAAATTATCAAATAACATTTATCAACGTAGCAGTGTTCCTTCATTACCTTCTAGGTTTGAAATACACAATTCCATTTTAGTCTAGACCGCGAACTGTGTGTACCCCTCTGATAAGTGTTAATTGGCACGGCTCCAACGGCCGAAAGCTATGAAATACACAATGCCATTTTAGAAAGTGGTCAAATATAGCATATGTTATATTTGGGATTACACTTTATTAGTAAAGTACAGATTCTAGTACTTTTTTGTGTGTTGAGTCCATTCCGGGATTCGAACCCACACCCTCAGAGTCAGGGTAGGTTTCTAGGTTTCTCGCAAGATTTACACTGAAGTTGAAAATCTGCGCTGAAGTGGTGTACCCTTATTTGTTTCCCTCAGTATATACATTTGTTTTTTTACCATATTACCTTTCCATAAACATTCTAGTACCTCCTACCGTTATACCTGTAAGAGAGTGCAAAATACATACCCTATGGCGTACTTTCAGTGGGATATACCTGGGGTGCCGTGGTTTTCCGCAGAGAGCCAGGTTAAGCGTTGAAATGAAGCACACGTAAATAGAATTGGATGACGTGAGTGGACGTATTTTATCTTATTAGATATCTACAATTGGAGCTGAGTTTAGAAACGAGGAATTCCATGTATGCACATGGTAACTGACCTGTTATAGCACTCACTATCAGTCCAACAACGATCACTGTGGCTGCACCGATAGACGGGTACCATAGATACGACACCGTGTACAGGGCGGACACACCAGTGCTGAAACACGAGCACAGATGAAGTGGAAACGTCACTGTGTTCAAGACATAGATATAAGTAATGGATCATGATAAAGTAGAGATGAAGTGGAGAATTCACTGTGTACAAGGCTAAGATACAGGTACTGGATCATGACAGAGCAGAGATGAATAGGAGAAGTCATTGTGTAAAGGACTTAGATACTAGTACTGGATCATGACAGAGCAGAGATAAAGAGAAGTCGCTGTGTACAAGGCTTAGATACAACTACTGGATCATGATAGAGCAGAGATGAAGTGGAGAAGTCACCGTGTACAAGGCTTAGATATAAGTGAGGTGAGGTGAAATTGGGTTTTGCGTCGTGCTTGAGAATATTTCGCTCATATGACGACGTGCATGCGTGTGTGTGTGTATGTGCGGCTGCTTGTACTAGCCCAGACTTAAGCTGGTTTTATAGTGCTAGCCCACTGAGATACCATGCCGCAGTGAAGCATGAATACCCCACTCAGACACAGTATACTGACTCCGAGCCGACCAGTCCTTGTTGTACCCATTAATGCCGAGCGCCAGGCAGGGACCAACAAGTACCATATTTTAACGTCTTTTGGCATGACGCGGTCGGGGATTGAACCCGCGACCTTCCGCTCTCGGGCGGACGCTCTAACCACTACACCGCGGAGGCGGTCTTCAGTGAAGGTAAGTTAAGCGGTAAGTTGTGGCCTAGAGCAGCTGTTAGAATGCGTTCGAACCAGCACCCTTGGTCATACGTTTCCTTATCGTGAAACGTCTCGACCTGCATAGATGTTTCCTTCTTTATCAAGGACGATCTAAATTTGCTCTCTCGTCAGCTATGGATAAGGTTGGAAAGAAGTGACGTTAAATCTCACTAACATAGTACGCATTAAACATATGCCATTTCAGTTTTAGTTTCAGTTTGGGCAAAGGTGTGCTCACAATAACCCTACTAAATCACTCACTACTCGACACCCGCGTCAGCTGTCATCGTGGAGGACATTGTTGTTGTCATGGAGACGGTCGTGTTGGGGACGCTGCAGTTGTATGTAGGAAACTCGAGGTTACTTGGGGCTCCCACAATAGTGTAGGCTCCTATGCTGATCCATAAGGGGAACGCCAGCCCAAGGATACCACCGACCACTGCACCCTGTGGAAGACAATACAACACAGACAAGAACACCGCCGGCCACTGCTCCTTGTGGAGGACAATATAGGATAAACAACAATTCCACCGACCACTGCACCCTGTGGAAGACAATGTAGCATGCATAGCATACACACGAATAACGTCGACCACTGCACCCTGTGGAAGACAATATAACACAGACAAGAATAGCACCGACCACTGCACCCTGTGGAAGACAATATAGCATACATAGCATACACAAGAATATCGTAGACCACTGCACCCTGTGGAAGACAACACAGCATAAACAAGAACACCGCCGACCACTTCACCCTGTGGAGGACAATATAGCATAAACAAGAATTCCATTTAACACAGCATCCTGTAGAAGACAATATAGCATAAATATGAATGCCACTGACTACTGCTCCCTCTGGAAGACAATAACTTTAACTTAACGGCTAAATCATGCTTCTTAGGGGGGAATAGATTACAAACTATACCGATATGTGATAAATTAATCAAGGAAGAAACATAGTGTGTAGAGAGCAATGGAAAAGCACTTGAAAGTAGACACGGAATAAGGTGACACGGGATAGTGATGCTACAGCAACTGTCTAAATGTGTAATGAGGCTGCCATGTATTCGCTGTTTTCATACTGTAATAGCATGCTCACTATACTCCGTCAACCTAACTTTTTGAACACCGTATTTTGCAAGTTACGTTTAAATAACAGAATGTATCAAACTTTAATTGGCTCAGCTAATAATGATATCTGACGACCTATTTGGGTGTTGAATGTCAAACATTTATGTCAACTATTAAAGATTTTACTTAAGAAACTATCATATAAAGTTTCTGACAACTTTTTCACAAGGGAGTACTGGTAACAATGTTGCAATGTGTGTCAACATGTTATGTGTATGCATGCACGAGCATTTCATGTGACGTCACAGCTTATGTTCGGGTGTCGGCAAGATGCTCCGTAAAGATGCACGGGACACAGTTCAAAGTGTACATGCGTTTTTCAAGAAAGAAGCCAAGAGACTAAAACACTTAATTTCTCTGAATTGCTATACGAAACGTAACTTCATGCCACAAGTTTTCAATCAGCGCTTCATCGCATTGTATCCCTTGACAATGATGAATTCAGGGTCTGACACTGAAACCCCGAGTGGATCGGGGAGCGTTCCAAAACATCCTAAGAAAGGAAAACTGGATGATTTTGATAGACGAATAGTGTCTTCCAGAAAATTGGAGAAGATACTTTAAGATGACCATGATATCTATGTCTACAAGTACACAATATACAAGTTATTGTTTAAATATGGATGCCGCTTCAAGAGACACTCTGCTGACACTCTGTGAGAGGGGCGATATCATAATAATGAGAGCTCGGTATCAGGGGAGGATACGTCAGATGAATGAAGAAGGATATGAAATCGTGTGGCTTGATGAGATAAGGGTAAATGCTAACCGTACACCGTGCTTACCAATGGCAGCACCCAGATGCAGAGAAGAACAGAAGGATGCCTCGTGGAAAAGGAGAGAGACTCATAATTCTTCATGTTGGCTCTCACTTTGGGTTTCCTCCTGGATGTGATGTTGTTTTCAGGGCCAAATCGAAGGGTGGACGGGACTACCACAGTGAAATGAACTCTGCAGTTTTCACTGAATATGTGACTGAACATTTGATTCCAGCACTGGTTGACCATTCTGTGATAATGTGGATAATGCACCTTATCACGGCTGCGTTGACCCTCAGGATAAGTGTCCAACCTCAGCTTTTAGAAAGGGAGATATGGTTGCTTGGCTTGACAAACATGGCATCGAACAGCCATCAAAATCAACAAAATAGAGCTGTGCAAGATTATTCTTACTACAAAGCAACCACCTATTTATCACATTGACAATCTGCTTAAACAACATGGTCATGAAGTTGTACGTCTCCCACCCTATCACTGTGACTTAAATCCGATAGAACTGGTATGGGGCCACTTAAAAAGCAAGTTGCACCGAAGAACAAATCATTTAAGTTTACCGATGTACCACATGGGTACAATGTGTGAAGCCCATTTCTGGTGTCCCCCGCCGTGATATTGCTGGAATATTGCTCAAAGCGGCGTAGACCAAACTCACTCACTCACTAACCGATGTAAAACGTATTGTTACTGACGACATGTGTAAGGTTCCAACAGATTTGTGTAAAAAACTGTGTAGATCACGTTTTGCAAGTAGAAGAACAATATTGGCAAAAGGATGGTTTACAAACCAAAACGGTCACACCACTGATCATAGATTTGAACTCAGAATCTGACTCTGACATTGAAGTCTGTGCTTCTGGCACATCGGAATCTGACTATGAACATAAATATGTCCTCTTAACATGGCAAGTCTTTACTTTCTCGCCTTTGTAATATTATGATGTTTGATAATCACATTGATAATCATATTCATTACTTGCCTTTACCTTTTAATACAAATGAATAATTTTAAAAATCTGTCTAAAATAAAAAAAATAGTTTGGTGATACAGTCCCTTCACAACATGTCCTTATACAATCACGACGTTTCCCAACCTGCAGGTGCTACATACATTGCGAAATTGTTGATAACCTTTCCAGTACTTGCCAGTACGCCCTTGTGAAAATGTTGTTGTCAGGAAAGTTGTATGATAGTTTCTTAAGTAAAATCTTTAATAGGTGATATAATGTTTTGATACACAGCACCCAAATTGGTCGTCAGATATCATTGTTAGCTGAGCCAATTAAAGTTTAATACATTTGTTACTTAAACGTAACTTGAAAAAAAACGTGTTCCAAAAGTTAGGTTGACGGACTATAAATAGCTAGTTTCAACATGTCAGCTATGTCTGATTATCAACTTACAATCCAGTTGGCCCATGGGAAGAAGGCACCGAGAGCAAACATTCCGAGCAGAGGCCCCGCGGCAGCCCCACTGAAGCTCATCGACGCCTTAAGGAAAACATAAAACATATGTCTCATTCCCTGACTCGTTCAACAAACCGTTGAAAGATCCACAAGCCTTACATTCTTGGCAATATCAGCATTTTTAACGAATTGTCAAATGGCAATGCCTAATCAATACGTTTACTCTAAGTTGTTAATATTAGACGCGGTTGAACAGAATGGTTAATCTCACCTGTAATACTGTTCCTCCTAAATTCATTACCATGAAAGATATCCCAACACTAGCTCCACCGTAAAACAACACTGGAAGACAAATTATTATTTAATTGTTGTTAGATAAACGAGTTTTTACATACATACATACATACAAACATTTGTCCTACCTGAGCGCTCCACTAGACTGATTAGTTCCTGCCTGAGTGCTCCACTAGACTGATTAGTTCCTACCTGAGTGCTCCACTAGACTGGACTGTTCCTACCTGAGCGCTCCACTAGACTGATTAGTTCCTGCCTGAGTGCTTCACTAGAATGGACTGTTCCTACCTGAGCGCTCCACTAGACTGCTTGCTTCACTAGAATGGACTGTTCCTACCTGAGTGCTCCACTAGACTGATTAGTTCCTACCTGAGTGCTTCACTAGAATGGACTGTTCCTACCTGAGTGCTCCACTAGACTGATTAGTTCCTGCCTGAGTGCTCCACTAGACTGATTAGTTCCTGCCTGAGTGCTTCACTAGACTGATTAGTTCCTGAATGGACTGTTCCTACCTGAGTGCTCCACTAGACTGATTAATTCCTACTCCACTACACTGAGTTCCTGCCTGAGTGCTCCACTAGACTGGACCTGAGTGCTCCTAGAATGGACCCTGAGTGCTCCACTAGAATGGACTGTTCCTACCTGAGTGCTCCACTAGACTGATGAGTTCCTACCTGAGTGCTCCACTAGACTGATTAGCTCCTACCTGTGTGCTCCACTAGACTGATTAGTTCCTACCTGAGCCCTCCACTAGACTGATTAGTTCCTACCTGGGCGCTCCACTAGACTGATTAGTACCTACCATTTGTATAGCGCCGATATCCAGCTCAGCTGCTCAAAGGCGCTTTGTTTTTCCCTCGATCACTGGATGTCAATCTCAACGGCACACCGTATTGTCAATCTCAACTCCCTGGGGATCATACAACTCTTGCAGCCACTAGGCAGACAGATCAACAGGAGCAATGGCCCATGGTGTCGGGAACGATTGCAGGCAGCAATAACCACCCTGTCCTTTTTAGTCTCTTTCTCATTAGAATACGACTAGAATTCATACCAATTGTCTGAGACGACCGACTGGATCAGGTGGACTGGTATTCATTGCATTTGATTGTGCTCCGAAAAATTGAATCCATGCTCGCAATATCAACCACTGGAATATCTGGTCCCGATGCAAATACTTGCAGTTACAAATATACCAAAACAAACCAAGGTACACTGTCGATCAGCAATCTGGTTGGTATAAACATCTCACTAAGGTTCCTCATTGTGATCTTGGATATGGAATGATACAAGTTGTATGCTTCTCTCGAGGGTAATACGGTGTTACGCGTTAAGTGTGCGTTAGTAGTAGGCTGCACCTCAGTGGAGATCTGCACTTTATTGGATATATCTATTGACTGACAGAATCTACAACAGTGAAAATATGCAAGAATATGTGTGAATATGCGGTGGTCAAGGCAAAGTAATTTTTGCGAATATTGAATGTGTAGTTTTCGATTGACAAACATTGAAATCTGTGTTACCCCAACTATTGTTTCATGCTAAGCTTGTGTACACCATTGTTAATCAATCAGTTACTCCAGCAGCTGCTTGATTGTCAGCCAGGTGCCCTGGATACAGAACAATGAGTGTTGATGTAACACTGGCCTGGAGTGCAATCATGTTGGTCTATTCACTCAGTGATTTGGAGAAAGTGGATACCAATCATCACAGAATACCTCTGTCAACCCTGGAATTATTGAGGTCATTCAACATATGTGATGTGGAAAAAACTGGAAGAGGGTGCCGTGGTGGACTCAGAACTAAGTCACAATTAAATGCTTCAAAAGTAATTTATGTCAAAGCCTCAACAACGTTTAAAACAAAACAAACTAGATTTAGTGTCTTAATTGCTAGGTCGGTGAAAACTCAAACGGCTACAATGGACAAAGCAGAATCCATGATGGACCTTATTCTGGACAAGAAACTTGATGTACTTATAATCACAGAGACGTATACGTGGTTGTGGGAAAGGGATACTGATAACTTTGTTATCTCCAAGATGACACCCACAGGATACAGATGTACCCATGCATGCAGAACCAAGCGGAGAGGTGGAGGTGCAGCCACAATCTATTGTGACTCATTTAAGGGCTCACTAATGAAACCGCAACATACCTACAACTCCTCTCAAATGCGGTCTATAAAGTTACAGTCTGACGACCAAACTATGATTATCTCTGGTGTATACAGACCCCCAGGAAGAATCTCACTCTCTGAAGACAAACAAGAAAGCGGATGCTTCATTTCTGACTTCAGCTCTCTCCTAGAATCATTCAATATGACAGCAGGGAAGCTTCTTATCATTGGAGATTTTAACATTCATATATGGAGGACAGAAGACAGCGCGACACAGCCAGATTCTTGGAACTCCTTGAAGCCTATGATTTAGTTCAGCATGTTGGTAAACCAACCCATGTCAAAAATCACACCTAGGATCTTGTAATCACGAGAAACAATGAACTGGATATCAGAAATACGCGCATGGATCATTCTGTTGTGCCTGATCACTATGCAATCATAGCCACTGCCAGTTTCAGTGTACCCAAGAGACCATGACGACAAATATCATTCCGAAAATGGAAAAACATCGATTTGACAGAGTTCAAATCTGATCTTCTTAAAACTGTTGTTGAAAACCTCCATTGTTCAGAACCTGACGATTGCTATGAACATTACGTAAAGAATATTCGTGATATTGTTGAAAGGCATGCGCCAGTATCCAGCCGTGCGGTAACCATTCACACCAGGGAAGCATGGTATAGTGAACAAATTAGAACAGCCAAGCGATTTCGTCGAAAGCCTGAGAGGCAGATGCGATCCGCTGGCTTGAACATTCACAACCAGATGCATTCCTCGGCATGTAATGAAATCTATAGCTCTAGTTGAAACTACTTCGACAACATTATCGAGAATGATCAAGGTAAAAAAGACGTCTATCGGATTTCAAATCGACTCTTATTCAAGTCAACATCTCAGACACTTCGAAGTGAATACTCAGATGAGAACCTGGCAACTTCTTTCTCTGAATTCTTCTCAAACAAGATCAGCACTATACGTGAGAATCTTGAACTATCGGCAGCATCAGTCTCCAAAAACGACTACATCACTGATAATGTCGAAGCACGAGAAGAGATGTCGAACTTTCAAGCTGCCTCTGACAATGAGTTAGACATTCATGCAGAGTCCCAAAAAATCATGCTCACTGGATCCTATGCCATGGTTCATTAAGGAGTGTGTTGATTAAGCTGTTCCCATGATTACATACATGGTCAATGAATCACTCCGACAGTCAACTGTTCCGAGTGCAATCAAGTTTGCTCTGATCACACCGATGATTAAGAAGCCTCACCTTGACTCCGATGTTTTCAAAAGTTATAGACCCGTCTCAAATTTATCTTCTGTTTCAAAGGTCCTTGAGAGGATTATCGCAGCCAGGATCACTGAACATATTATGAGAAACAGGTATGCAGAGGATTTACAGTCGGCATATCAATGTCGCCACAGTACAGAGACGGCACTTGTCCGTGTACAAAACGACATACTGCAATCAGTAGACTCGGGTGGGGCCGCCATCCTAATACTACTCAACCTCTCCGTAGCATTCAATACCATTGACCAGTGCACTCTCATGAATACTCTTCAACATAGATTCGGCGTCAAAGACAATGCCTTCGATTGACTCCTATCCTATCTGTCTGGAAGATTCCAGTCAGTGAAGATCAAGGATAGTATTTCCAGCCAGGTTCCTCTAACGTATGGCGTCCCTCAAGGCTCTGTGCTGGGACCCATTCTTTTTACCAATTACACAACCCCTCTTGGAGTCATTGCAAGGATACATCATCTGTCATTCAAGTTTTACGCTGATGACACTCAGCTTTATCTAGCATTTAAACCATCACAGTGCTTATCAGTCCAGAATGCTTTCAATCGCATGATGCTATGTGTGGACAATATCAAGGTGTGGATGAACAAAAACTTTCTCATGTTGAACAGTGAGAAGACTGACCTTCTCGCTGTCTGTTCCAAATCTGTCAGAAGCAAGTTAGCCCTTCCAGACCTCATGATTGGAGAGTGTGTTATTCCTCCAAGTGACAGAGCACGCAACCTCGACTTTATTTTTGACTCATCTCTAAGTGCAGAATCTCATATTTCAAAAGTCTGTAAAACGGCACTCTATAACATCAGAAATATCAGTCAAATAAGAAGATTATTGAATGTAAAGACTGCTGCCACTCTAGTCCAGTCCTGTGTGCTGTCGCACTTGAATTACTGCAATGCATTGCTGTACGGTATCCCGAAACACCTTATCAACAAGCTTCAGCGATGTCAAAATGCAGCCGCGGGCTCGTGACCAAGACATGAAAGCATCAGCATATAGTCCAGTCTTAAAGAACTTACACAGGCTCAAGGTTGCAGAGATAATCAAGTACAAGATTCTGGAACTAGTGTTCAAGGCGACGCAAGCACTGGCACCACCCTATCTACAAGATCTCATTAATGAGTATTATAGCTAAAATACATGGAATTATCATGAAACGGCCCTCCCATTATCAGAAATTTGCGGGCCGCTGCAAATGATATTGGACCGCTCAACCTTAACGACGGGCCACTATCAGTTCTGTTGTCAAGTGACGTCATAGAGGGTGCGTGAGCTTACGGTTCATTCGACATTAATTGGCTTTCGACAGGCAGATATTCTGGGCCAAACAAGTCAAAGCAACCCGAATTCCCGCTTTAAATAGCGGTAATATTGACTTTCTTGTTGGTGCTAACCTTAACAATTGCACTATTAAGGCTGTTGATGGACCAAAACCGAACACTGACATAGTTTGACATGTTGCAGGCTATGGTCTTGTCAAAGGCCAAGGTCGAATATCGTCACTTTCTGTTGTGACGTCACTTGAATTGTTCGATGACGTAACTGCATTCGGGCAGTCAACCCCGTCAGAAGTTGGTTTGGGTAAACTTACAGTCAAATTCCTTCATTGTTTCTTTTTCTTTTCAACACAAATTCCATGTATTTTAGCAATAATAACGGTAATGCTATTTTTTAGGGCATTATCATTTGCAGAAGCCCTCGGTCTTTTTCAACCCCGTCAGAAGTTTATTTGGGTAGTATAATGGAAGACCTCGAGCTTCTTCAAATGATAATACCCTCAAAAATAGCATTACCCTTATATGAGCCACGCAGAGCCCTGAGATCAGGCGGACAATATCTTCTCCGTGTTCCAACACCCAGCAAAACCCGCTTTGGCGACCGCAGCTTCTCCAGAGCAGACCCTCTTCTCTGGAACAGCCTTCCAGACGAGATCAGATCCACCAGAGAACTGACTACTTTTCAGTCAAAATTAAAAACCCACTTTTTCACTGTAACATATTGTTAACCATTTGCAGTTTTTGTGCAGGCTCCGAAAAGCGCTTCTGAGCAGTAAGTAAACTGGATACAAGCGCTATATAAATATCTAGTTATTATTATTATATTATTATTATATACGCCGAGCCGGTAGACGAGGAATGAAACTCCTACAAAGAGGCGTACATCAGACCGTATTACCCTCGAGAGAAGCATACAACGTATTTAGCTTACCACCATGTTAAATGTACAAACTGTCATTTTATTTTATTTTAAAGATCGCTACAGACAATATGACATGTAAACCAAATCGCGTCTGCCTCTCGACTGGAATTTTAACATCAGTAAAACATATTCTGACAAGCTTAAAACTGCTATAAAAACGATTGATTATGATTAGGTTGAGTGTGCAAACGACTCAATGTATTAAACAGTTTAAATAAAGCAGTGTTGTACATAGTGAAATCAAAAACAGCTAATCGCACGGTTTTCGAACTCCGGACATGCGTCATATTTTCTTTGAGTGACATTTTATCACTATGATGGGGTGGGAAGGGGGGATGCATCATGCCACTATAGTGGATATATAGTCAGAGCATAAATGCTTGACACCGGTACAAGAAGCTGCATCATGCTTGACAACGGTACAAGAATCTGTATCGAAACGTCGCTCTCACGAATAAAAGAAGTTGTTATCCATAAAGTTTGTTCTATATTGCGTCATATTATCACGTCATACGATTGTTACCGATGCAGCTTCTCGACGGAGAGCTTAGCGGTGTCCCTTCCTGGGAGGGGTGACACGGAAACTTGTTAACGCGTCATTGACCAATAAAATTAAAGTATTTTACATGAAGGTAAGATAATACGTCAATTGACAACGTTCCTCTCTACATATTACCACCCAGTCCACTACCTTGTCGGTGATCAGTGGCAATACTACGTTACACCTTCTGGAAAATGTAGGTGGAAGTCTAGAAAAACATTCACTAGATATGTAGGAAGTTCTTATCAATTAGGGGCGGTAGGGTAGCCTAGTGGTTAAAGCGTTTGCTCGTCACGCCGAAGACCCGGGTTCGAATCCCCACATGGGTACAATGTGTGAAGCCCATTTCTGGTGTCCCCCGCCGTGATGTTGCTGGAATATTGCTCAAAGCGGCGTAAAACCAAACTCAGTCATTCAGTCTTATCAATTATATGTTGTACCTCGTTAGGATGAGAAAGCCACAATTACTCGGTGCGCCTAGTGGCTGCAAGAGTTGTTTACTCCCCAGGGAGTTGAGATTGATAATGCGATGTGCCGTTGAGATTGACACCCAATGATCGAGGGAACAAAATACCAGCGCCTTGAGCATGCACCAGTGCGTGGATATGTGCGCTATATAAATGTCCTATAATAGATATCCTAGAATAATAATACGTTAAGAAAATCTGTCTGGCTCATCTTTGCCTGTTGTATGTTTTTGTTTTCGTAAATAGTATGTTCTTGCTTGTTTGTCCACCAATAAAGTCATCAGGCTCTACAGGAGCAATCATTCTTTTCAGATCTTCATCCCGCTGTGTAATCGTAAGTCTACCATTGTATTGAATATGGTCGCTAAAAAGAAACAAGTACAATGTACCGGTTTTTAAGATGTAATGGCGATCGACCTACAGTGTTTCCTGTACGTACCGCGCTAATTTACTCTTTTGAAACCTTCATTTCAATACTGTTAGTTTTACAGGTAACTAAGTCCTACACTGAGAACCGCAATTTTATTTCTCTAAAACTATTATAGTGCCAATTACATGGTTTTCGTTTCTGTGCCAACCATAGTTGAAAGTTGATGTGTACATCTGTTATCGTTCTTGAAATGATTATGAGTGAGTAAGTGAGTATGGTTTTACGCCGCTTTTAGCAATATTCCAGCAATACCACGGCGGGGGACACCAGAAATGTGCTTCACATATTGTGCCCATGTGGGGATTCAAACCCGGGTCTGCGGCGTGAAGAGCGGACGCCTTAACCACTAGGCTTCCCCACTGCCCCCTGAAATGATCATGAGATAATTCATTCGAATATGTAACCAAAGGCCAATAGGACAGCTTGTTCAAATTAAGGTGTAGTGAGTGAGTGAGTTTAGCTTTACACCGCTTTTAGCAATATTCCAGCAATTTCACACATTGTACCCATTTGGGGAATCAAACCGGGTCTTCGAGCGACGAACCCTTTAACCATTATGCTACCCCACCGCCCCAAAGGTTAAGGTATAAATGTTACAACAAGCGAATCCTAAAAATAACAACGATCGATCTGTGTGAGGATCAGACGTGTGCCTTTCGAAAGACACTTCGATCCCAAAGTCCTTTGGAAAATATATATTTCAATCCTTTATGGTAATAAACTCATTACGAGGTGATAGTATTCTCAAACATGATAAAAGTTTAAACATGTGTACTTTCTGTTTCAGACATTTGGCAAAACCTGACAGATCGTTAATCATGGCAATTACAATTAAATTGTGGGTACTGATACGAATACGAATAACTGATGCTTACCCAGGAGTTTTGTGACGAGAGTCTTCTGCCCTTCGGTCAGTTTTTCCCCGATCACAGGGTTCAGGAAGTCTTCCCAGGTCACGGCCGCCAGAGCGCTTAAGCCGGAGGACGTGGAACTGCAAGGAGACGCAAGATAACTTCATAGTAGATGGTGATGTTTGTGGGTTAGAGTGTAGATACAGACTCCAATATGTACACACTGCCAGAGTGAAGAAACACACAATAATTACAGACGAGAGAGGTACAGCCTTTGATAGATCAAACCGTACGTCATTAGTTTATGCATGAAATCCTTAAAAGGGAAAATGTTTGTCCCTGAAATGAACTGAACCCGATCGTTCATCCATACTAAACAGTTCCTTAAAACTAATAATTTCTCAACTGAAAACTTCTCTATAGTGAACAGTTCTCACCTGAGTGTTCCATTAAACTGAACAGTTCTTACCCGAGTGTTCCACTAGACTGATTAGTTCCTACCTGAGTGCTCCACTAGACTGACTAGTTCCTACCTGAGTGCTCCACTAGACTGATTAGTTCCTACCTGAGTGCTCCACTAGACTGAACAGTTCCTACCTGAGTGCTCCACTAGACTGATTAGTTCCTACCCGAGTGCTCCACTAGACTGATTAGTTCCTACCCGAGTGCTTCACTAGACTGATTAGTTCCTACCCGAGTGCTCCACTAGACTGATTAGTTCCTACCTGAGTGCTCCACTAGACTGATTAGTTCCTACCTGAGTGCTCCACTAGACTATTAGACTAGACTTTCCTACCTGAGTGCTCCACTAGACTGATTAGTTCCTACCTGAGTGCTCCACTAGACTGATTAGTTCCTACCCGAGTGCTCCACTAGACTGATTAGTTCCTACCTGAGTGCTCCACTAGACTGATTAGTTCCTACCTGAGTGCTCCACTAGACTGATTAGTTCCTACCCGAGTGCTCCACTAGACTGATTAGTTCCTACCTGAGTGCTCCACTAGACTGATTAGTTCCTACCTGAGTGCTCCACTAGACTGACTAGTTCCTACCTGAGTGCTCCACTAGACTGATTAGTTCCTACCTGAGTGCTCCACTAGACTGATGCCTAGACTAGTTCCTACCTGAGTGCTCCACTAGACTGATTAGTTCCTACCTGAGTGCTCCACTAGACTGATGAGTTCCTACCTGAGTGCTCCACTAGACTGATTAGTTCCTACCTGAGTGCTCCACTAGACTGATTAGTTCCTACCCGAGTGCTCCACTAGACTGATTAGTTCCTACCTGAGTGCTCCACTAGACTGATTAGTCTCTACCCGAGGCGCTCTTACCTGGAGTGCTCTAGACTGATTAGTTCCTACCTGAACGCTCCACTAGACTGATTAGTTCCTACCTGAGTGCTCCACTAGACTGATTAGTTCCTACCCGAGTGCTCCACTAGACTGGACTGAGTTCCTACCTGGAGTGCTCCACTAGACTGACTAGTTCCCTACTAACAGTCTCTATCTGATTGAACAGATCTTACCTGAGTGCTCCACTAGACTGACTAGTTCCTACCTGAGTGCTCCACTAGACTGAACAGACTGTTCCTAGACTGATTAGTTTCTACCTGAACGCTCCACTAAACTCCAGTCTCTATCCGGAATGATTAGTTCCTTACCTGAGCGCTCCACTAGACTGTTTAGTTCCTACCTGAGTCCTCTAAACTAGAGTCTCTGATTAGTTCCACTACCTGAACAGTTCTTACCTGAACAGTGCTCCACTAAACTGATTAGTTCCTACCTGAGTGCTCCACTAAACTGTTTAGTTTCTACCTGAACGCTCCACTAGACTGAACAGTTCTTACCTGAGTGCTCCACTAGACTGATTAGTTCCTACCTGAGTGCTCCACTAAACTGAACTTAGTTCCTACCTACCTCACTAGACTGATTAGCTCCACTAATGTACTGACTGAGTTCTCCTGAGTGCTCCACTAGACTGATTAGTTCCTACCTGAGTGCTCCACTAGACTGGACTACCTGAACGCTCCTACCCGAGTGCTCCACTAGACTGACTAGTTCCTACCCGAGTGCTCCACTAGACTGACTAGTTCCTACCCGAGTGCTCCACTAGACTGAACAGTTCCCTACCCGAGTGCTCCACTGAGTGCTCCACTAGACTGTTAGTTCCTACCGAGTGCTCCACTAGTTCTATCCGAAATGTGAAGTTCCTACCCGAATGCTCCACTAGACTGATTAGTTCCTACCCGAGTGCTCCACTAGACTGATTAGTTCCTAACCGAGTGCTCCACTAGACTGACTAGTTCCTACCCGAGTGCTCCACTAGACTGACTAGTTCCTACCCGAGTGCTCCACTAGACTGAACAGTTCCTACCCGAGTGCTCCACTAGACTGATTAGTTCCTACCCGAGTGCTCCACTAGACTGATTAGTTCTACCCACCTGAGTGCTCCACTAGACTGTTTGAGACTAGTTCCTACCCGAGATGCTCCACTAGACTGATTAGTTCCTACCTGGAAGTGCTCCACTAGTGATCTACCTGGTGCTCCACTAGACTGACTAGAGTGCTCCACTAGACTGACTTAGTTCCTACCTGAACGCTCCACTAGACTGAACAGTTCCTACCTGAGTAGACTCTCCACTCCACTAGACTGATTAGTTCCTACCCTCCACTAGACTGATTAGTTCTCCAATCTACTAGACTGGACTGTGATTAGTTCCTACCCGAGTGCTCGACTAGACTGATTAGTTCCTACCCGAATGCTCCACTAAACTGAACAGTCTCTATCCGAAATGAACAGATCTTACCTGAGTGCTCCACTAAAAAGACAAGAGACGAACAACCCTGGAAGACCTGGATATCCCAGCACGTCCATCACAAAGTAGGGTATCAGCTGGAATGAACAATGTCAGTGAGATTTTACACCGTTTCAGTGGTATAACAAAAACATCCCTTCGCGGGACACCAGAGCTTTATGTCATACAGTGTACATTTGTAGGAATTCGAGTATGATCCTTGAAAGTTTGAACCACTAGGCGATCATCACAGACAGGAATAACATACTTGTTCTCTTGTAATCTGCATCGGAAACACACGGGTATATTCTAGCCCAGTGTGCACCTAAGCCTATCCACGTACTCTATGAAAATGGAGATGGAGATGTTAGCTTAATGGTTGTGTCTTTATTTTTTAGCCAAATGAAACATTTCTAACAAGTTTTGTTGTATATTTCCTCCATTGATACATGATCCTCATACTATCAGCTCCCACCTGGTTTGAGTTTCTGATGTATTTTGCAGACAGTGGATCACATCCCAGTTTTGCGTAATGGGCGAAGGTAATGATCCCCGCAAGGCACACAATGGTCAGCAGAAGTAAGACACCCAGTACATTCAGCATCACAGACCTGCAGTGGAGATTGTTTAAACAGCGATAAGAAATAACTCCACAATTTCAAATATGAAATCAACAAACGCGATATAAAAGTCACTGTACACACATGTATATCGCTGATGTGCGTCAAGCTATAATCACTGGATTGTCTGGTCCGACTCGACTGGACTCGATCGTTTACAAACCATATCGTGCAGCTGTAATCCTGATGTTAAGTACAGCTGTAATCCTGATGTTAAGTACAGCTGTAATCCCGATGTTAAGTACAGCTGTAATCCTGATGTTAAGTACAGCTGTAATCCTGATGTTAAGTACAGCTGTAATCCTGATGTTAAGTACAGACTCATGACATTGTCAGAATCGCACAAACGACCCCACTTTCAAGCTGAGGTTTCTTGTGGGTGAGGAAAGGGTTTTCTCGCTTCAATCAGAACGGTGGAGGAGCCCACGCCCTTTGTATGCTTGTGTAAACGGAAGGTGTTTCCAGGGTCATGCTTACCCTTTCCGTGAACACCTGGTGTTATACTTGTTCAGTGACCTTTTCATTGCCAATGCCATCACTGAATGCCATTCTATATCTAAACGTATCTCTTTCAGCAGGCAATCCTGACTAAGTGTTCTATACAGATGACGTTTTGTAAAGGTTAAGGTTGTCCAGTCTGCATATTTGTAATTGTCTGGTTGGCATTCTAGAGGTATGTGAGGCAATAATGAAGCAAATGACTTCATGGATAACATCTTCACGTTAATTGCATAGAGCGAAACTTCGGTGTAGACTCTTAAACCTCTATCAAGCTATATTGCTTGATAACAACGTCTTGTCTATTTATAGAGCAACGTTTCAGTGTAGATTCTTTCACCGTTATCAATCTCAACAGCTATTTCGGCTTGATAACGGTGTACGAATCTACAGCGAGACGTGGCTCCATGCAATAAACAAGACGTTGGTATCCATAAAGTTGTATGCTTCATTACGTATTTGTAAGTATTGATGAGAGTTTGCTTGTACCACCACCCTATATTTCGGGAAAAGGCTACTTTTTGCCCATTTCGTATGCTTAATCTTTTTACTGTGATTTAATGGCAAATATTTGTGATGTTTAGTATCGTCGGGAATCCCTCGTTGATTAATCTTTAACAAAAGGTTCCACAGTTTTGGTTGGTTGGTTGGCAGCGGTCTGTAAATAATCGAGCTCGACGTCCTATTCTGTCCCTATGTACCGTGTAATCTTCTTGGACGAGAGTCGATTCGGCCTTTCACATGCGGACGGACGTGTCAGAATATGGCGAAGATGAGGCCAAAGTTATGCTGATCAGTGTGTGATGGAAAAGAATGGGGCGACCCGAGTGTAATGGCATGGGCAGGTATTAGCTACAAGACACTAGGGCCACTTGTGTTTTAAAATATTGGCCCTGGGAGGGGGGATGGTGTGAATGCTCAGTGGTACATTGATCAGGCTCTCCAACCCCATGTTGTGCCATTTTTTGACAGACATCAGAACCACATTTACCAGCATGATACTGGGAGACCGAATGTTGCAAGGGTAACACAACAACATCTGCAACATCACAACACTGCTGTTCTGCCTTGGCCATCCATGAGTCCCGACCTAAACCCAATTGAACATTTGTGGGTCAAAACTCAAAGACGACTGAACCAAGTTCGTGTAAGGCCAACAAATGCTGTTGAACTTCGAGGAGCAGTGCTACAGACAGTCACCAACATCCCACTGAACTTTACCAACAATTTGGTGCATTCCATGTACAGGCGTTGTGCCGCAGTGGTAAATGCAAATGTCGGTCATACAGGGTACCGACTTTTGTGACCTTGTGACCTTGATACCTGATCATCCAAGTCTCCATGAATGTTACGGCCAAACGTTTGTGGACCAAATGATTTTTGCAACTGCTAACCTGTATGCATGTATCCATTCCATATTGACTTCTGAAAATGTTATAATTGTTTATTGGACTGCACTTGCGTTTCTTTTTCCTTTCAGTATATAATGTACTTAATTCTAATAATGCTGATATTATCAAATTTGTTGCCATTTTCAAAAAACATTTGATGTCCTTCCGTAAATCACATGTCAAAGTCGGCGAACCTGACCACCTGATCCCGTAAGTCGCCTCTTACGACAAGCATGGGTTACGGAATCCCAATTCTAACCCGGATCTTCACGGGTTAGGTTCCACAAAGCGTGCAGGTACTTTTGTACACTGTAGCTATCATACACACCATTTACGTTCGCTGTGATGAGGTTGACAAGGAATAACGTAGACAGTTTTATGGGTTTACAAAGTTTTTCAGTATAATTTTTTAGTTACATATTATGTAGTATGCAACATATATATATTACAGTTACAAGATACACTTAAACATGTTAAGTTAAGCCATAAATGTGCAGTTATGTCCAGGTTAGGAACACGTGGGTTGGACTAAAATAGTGTCACGTTTTATGGTGTTTATTTTTGCTTGACTGTTATTCGTGATTAGTATCCTCATATTTGGGGTCTTTGGACATGTGGTCTTTGGACATGTGGTCTTTGGACATGTGGTCTTTGGACACGTAGGAAATTCTGTTGTTCGTGCAGAAACAAATTAAAACATGAATTTATTTATCACAATTCTCCAAGTTAAACATGTTAAATTACACAAGTATTTGTAAAGTTTGTTTTGGGAAACTTGAGCCAAAGTAAATGTATTTCATCCCAAACACATACTCTAAGGATACTTTATGTTACTGAATAGCATAAACTGTGTAAACTTGGGGCATATTTATGGTTGGTAATTAGTACTGTGAATTAGAAAATCTTTCGATCATGTTTTAGGTGGAACTGACAACCGACAATATTCAGAAATGCAAGCAATAACACTGCGGTGTATGGTGAGTGAATTTAGTTTTACGCCGCACTCAGCAATATTCCAGCTATATGGCGGCGGTCTGTAAATAATCGAGTCTGGACCAGACAATCCAGTGATCAACAGCATGAGCATCGATCTGCGCAATTGGGAACCGATGACATATGTCAACCAAGTCAGCGAACCTGACCACCCGATCCAGATAGTCGCCTCTTACGACAAACATAGTCGCCTTTTGTGGCAAGCATAGGTTGCTTTGACCTATTCTACCCCGGATCTTCACGGGTCCTGCGGTGTATATGTAAAGAACGTCCCGAGTACAAGAATAAAAAACCTTGTTATGTCTACAACACGTTAGCAATCATATACTCAATGTGTCACATTGCATCTTACATTTTGGCCTTCTGCAGTGTTGGCAGGGAGCAGTAGCGCTGGACACTGGCCTGGTTGACCCCGAAGGTCGCTGTCCAGGATACCATACCACCAACGACCAATGACCAGAATGTTTGGCGGACGGTTGGATCTGGGTCAAAGCTGAAACAGGTTCAACGCAAGCATACATGTCAGAGTCACTGAACAGGTTTGTTTGTTTGTTATTTGTTTCCAGCAATGTCACGGCTTAATGAAGAGTGAGTGAGTATGGTTTAACGGCGCTAAAAGCACTATTCCAGCAATATTATGGCAGGAGACATCAGAACTGGGCTTCACACATTGTACAAATGTGGGGAATCGAACTCAGGCCTTCGGCGTCACAAGCGATCGTTTAACCACTAGGCTACCCCACCACCCCAGAATGGTCCAAAGTGATGCAGGCCATTTACTAATTATATAAGCTGATGGTACCACTTCGGTAGCATGAAGATACTTTTGAGCCAACAGTTTTCGTTATTTCACTTCCCCCCTTCTATTTTGAAATTTCAGCTTTTGTTCTTGTTAATTCGTAATCTCTGGTATTTTTGTTAGGTATTTCAAGTTCATTTCTAAAGCTCGAAATTTTAAGTATTTTTCTCACTGCTTCCATCATTTTCTCGGTATTTCAATATTTTCAGTGAATTTCTTTACGTTAGATCGATTATTTTCTCCTCACTTCCATTATTAGTTACTCGAAAATTCGAGTTTTGAAATAAACATCACATTACGAGCGGATCGACCTTGTTCTGGGCCCTCTAGCTTGTCACGTGACAAATGACTTATCATGGTCAGTTTGTATGTGACCTGCTGTAAATCAGGAGATTAATGTGTCACGAATTTAATGCGAGTCAGAGGGTCTATTGTAAAAAGCGTCATGAAATTAATGCGAGCTCAGGAATCTGTGTTGATGATAAAATGTGACAACCAGAATCTTTGATGTTAATTTTCTTTTCACACTTGTTATTTACCAAATAACATAAATTGAGCTTTTTAAGCAATGAATGGAAATGAGCTGACGATGTTTTGATTACGCTGCCATGTTTGATCACGTGATTGCTTGCTACTACTTGTCTTATGACAACATTTATAAACGATAGTTACCATGTATACCTTGATTGTCCAACCATCAAAATGTTCTGGTCAGAATTTAACAATGTTATAACTCAAGCCCTTGGTAAAACGTATGAAATGTCAGACCATGATATTCTATTTTGTTGCAGTGGTAACCACTTACTCAACCACATTAGGTATTAACTGTAGGTATTAACTATTGGCAACGCGCCACATTTTCGTAATGAATATAAAAGGACACAAACCTAGCCTCACCATCTACAGAACATTATTAAAGGACGTCTATGAGATTGAGAAATCTATCGAGAATATGAAACACTTTTACTGAAAATGGAATGTCCTAGATGCAGTCCTGTAATTTATATTTTAGTCTTCCAATTCTCTGTAATATTAGCTAGCATTTCAATTGTTTAATCTATATTCCCAGTACCATATCCACATTGTCTGGGGGCGGTGGGGTAGCCTAGTGGTTAAAGCGTTGGCTCGTCACGCCGCAGACCCGGGTTCGAATCCCCACATGGGTACTATGTGTGAAGCCCATTTCTGGTAAATCCCGCCGTGATGTTGCTGGAATATTGCCAAAAGCGGCGTAAAACCAAACTCAGTCAGTCATTTGTTGACGGAAAAGGTATATCTCTTCCCGATTGGAAATTCAAGACGCATACACGCACACTAAACCAACAGTTCACGAGCGGAATGTCATACGTACTCAAAGAAAGTTATTCTTCCCCATTCTTCGTTTATTCTCCAGACTTCTCCGATGCCTCCAACCACGATGGATCCCTGAAATGATGTATAATGTGTTTTACTATTACCTAAAAATGTTAACCATTCTACTTATTTTGGGTTTACTTTAAGCATGATGAACCATGTATTATAACAGTGGTGGCCATAAAAGTTCCAAATCCAAGGATTCAACCGAAGAACCCAGTAACTTTGTTTTACCCTGAACACGTGGAAACTGTATTCAGGGGCCAACCAATGTACCCATTTAAACTTTTACAATTTGTAAAGCATATACTGAAAGCTCTACTAAACAGTACAGAGGGTGAATGAAATTTGCTTAAAATTCCACGAATCATTCATTTCAGGTATAAAAAATTGACCATTTCGTATAGTTGGTATTTCGTGTACCATTATGCTCTCAACTAGTGTTTATCTACTTGTGTTAAAAAGAACTCAAAATGACCTAAAACAATTATATTATAGTATATTATGTATCGACATAATATATTCCCAATAAAATAATGCTGAACCAATATTTTTTTAAAGATATTCATTCTGCGATACTTTTTTTCCCCAGACATACCTGAATGACTATTGCCAGTAGTCCAGCAAACATCACCACTGATTGAAACATGTCTGTCCACACAACTGCTTTCATTCCACCCTACAATAAGACATTCGGCAGCTATGATCCAGGTGAATAGAAGTATACGTGCATAGTATGTAGTGACGAGCAGCGGATCAACAATAACAACAACAGGTAATTCATTTAGTAAGTCGCACACAGTTGGATAGTTATCTCCCAATTGACAGACACCCATTTGACAGACAGTCGATTGACAGACACTGAACTAGAAGGTTAATTAGGGTAACACCTACGTCGTATAATGGAACAGTCCACTGTCTAGTGAATAGAGCAGGGTGAGCCTGAAACAGGTTCGTTACTGAGAAGTTTGATTGTGTATTAATAGAACTTTGTTGTGATTAAATGATAATCTGTCTCCTCTTCTCAAAACTGTTTTTACGATCAGTTATTATCGAATATAAAATCAGGTTTGTCACTGAGAGGTTTGATTGTGTTTATTGATTGAAACATATGTTATTCATTCGCGAAAAGGATTGGGCACAAGTTTTCCAACTTGGAATAGCCCTCTCCCAATAACAGCATATGTACAACAGAAGTTAACCGAGAAAACGTGTTGTTGAGAGACATAGATATGTACATATTTGAAAACATTCTGATTTCAGCAATTGAGAAACCTGCATTGGCATGTAAAATAAGATTGATGCAAACCAGTGTTATAATTTTAACAATACGTTCTAACGATTGTAACAGTCTATGTCTTTGAATAATATACAATGGACATTCAAGGGAGTAATGAGAAACATTCTCACATCCATATCCACGTTGACACGATGCTTTTTTACAGTACAACCAGAAATTATTGAGAATTTAAAGATTCTATTTTTTTTCTCTCATTCCTCATGTATTATATGTGAATATTAGCAGAACATAACTCCATATTCAAAGACGGGTGAACAGTTAGTATTTTGTCTAGTCACCAAGGGCAGAAATGCAGGCGTCAATGCGGCGGGGCATACTACAGATCAAAGAAGTTAGAAAGTCGCTGTCCATGCTGTCTGATTGACACTTTCTTTCATAAGTCCCCAAACATTTTCTATTGGATTTAGGTCCGGGCTATAGCTTGGCCAATCTAATAATGTTGTATTTTGGGTTCGAAACCAGGCCTGTGAATGCTTTGTACGATGTTTTGGGTCGTTGTCCTGCTGGAAAATCCAAACATTTCCATAGAACACGTGAGCAGATGGAAGTAAATGTCCCTCGAGAATATCTGTGTACCGCTCACTGTTCATATTCCCTTCAAATACACAGAGGGGCGTTGCCACTAACACAGATATGCCTCCCCACACGTTAAATTTCGGACTATACTTTGGGCGCTGATACAAAGGTGTTTCAGTTTGTTTGGTCCAGAATGTCAGAACTTTCATCTGAGAAAATCACATTGTCCCAGTTAAAATTTCTAATTGCTGTAAGCACCAGTTCAACCTTTGCTCTTTTTGTTCAGGTTTCATGATCGGTGATGGAATTCCTCGACTTTTCTGCCAACCCAGTTCTAATTGTCTCCTTACAGACAGCCACAGTTCCTCTATCAATCATATCCAGCCTTAAGTTTTCTAAACACCTTCGTTTGTTTTTAGAAACAATAATACCAAGCCGCCTCCTGTCACCGACAGTCAATTTTCCGGGCCTACCTACGCCTCCCTGGTGCTCAATGCCATATCCTTTTGCAATATTTTTCAAAACACGATAAACATTGGACAAAGGGATGCCTGTTCTACTTGAAATCACTTTAGCTGATCTGATGTCCCTGTTATAATACTAAAATCAACTTCCTCTTCTCTAAATCATCCATACTGAGGATCACTGAAAATGTCGTCTGCTAGCAAGTAAACAAAGGGGGTAACTCTTCACAAACTATTGAAAAAAGATTAACGGAGTTGTCTCTCTTGAATGAAACCAAGCACTTGATAGCTGGTCAAGGATGTTTATAGTAGAAATCCAACTAAACATATTCCTAAAATTCTCAATATTTTCTGGTCATACTATCCATTTATTCCAAATAAATCATAATTAAGTGCATATATCTTATATCCTAATCTTGTGTGCAAAACGCTTAACTTCCTTATTCCATATGAAACTATTTAGGTGTACATTTTTCTTTCACGATGCAACAGAGTCTCGACTTCTAATACCTAGGGGAATATTATTCTACGTTTTAATTGCTTGTGGAATAAAAGATGATGTTGAGTACCTCAGTCTTGTACATGGTTAGCCAGAAATTATTGGAGTTTTTTAACAAATAGCTTGTCCGGTTGCCTACTACAGGTGGAAGTAAATCCTGAAGAAAAACTCGTGTTGGTCTGTTTAGAAGGAACTTTAAGTTCTGAAATGCTCCAATCATTTTAGATGTTTTTGACAATGTTTTCAATATGATGAGAAAGTTAAACCTAAATATTGACAAAAATCAAAAGTTTTTATGGTGCAGCAATCAAAATACAAATTAATGACATGTATTTTCGACCATCTTTCAGAGTAAATGATATAGTTCCAGTGTTTTCTGTGCTTTTATTTGAACTATCTTATTATAATCTGTAGGTAACTACTGATTAGATAGGTAGTAACTACTCTGTTCATTGAACCGTAAAATGTTGTTGCTTTAGGGTGTCTGCGAACATGCCTGTCTGCGTAACGTGGTGTTCTCGTTTACCCACCACAAAATCACTAACCCGTGTACACTAATCCTCTTTAGTCCCTTATCATAACTTTAGACAATGTATATTAATGCAGACTTGTTCTCGTCACTATATAGCTGGAATAATGCCGATGTGACGTAAAGCCCAACTCAACTCAACTCAACTCATAACTTTAGGGTGGTGGGTAAGTGAGAATGACCCTGCGTAATGAGGGGATGGGGCCAACCGGAGAATAATACCAACAAATTGTAAACAGGCTAACTGGACGGTAACTGAAGAGCTGATTGACTAATTTTATCTGTAATTCAACTTGATGTTGACAAAGTGACACTCCAATGTCCAATGATTGACTCAGTCAACTATTCAATCATCATCCAATCATCCTTTACGATGTACATCGAAACGCCGCTTTGTGCAATAAACAGGAACTGTTTATCACTGAACTGGCATGCTTCGTTATATATCGGTATTGTTTATTGCAATATAATAGAGATCTGTTTGAGAATGTTCAGTTTGTGAATGACTAATCTTCTGAATTTGGGTTAAGTTCTGCTGTAGTAAACTGCTATTTTCCAAATAGATCGCAGATTAGAAAAACTGATCAAACGTTCTTGTAACCTCTTTCATTAAGATGGCTGTGAAATGAGCGAGTACATATCTTGAGATTGTACACACTATAGAAGGTACCTGGAAATATATAACAGTTTTAGACTTTTAATTACAAGTGTTTTACATGTAAAATAATACAAGATGGATAATGTGTCACAATGTTCTCGCATTGAACAGTATTATTCCAGAGCCGCAAGTGAAGTCCCCTCGCAGTGTCAAACCGGTGAATACACCGCAAAACGTCAAGTCTATAACTCGAACCGAATATCACCTGATCCAGGAATGACAAAGGGAAGTAACTAAGCACAATGTGACGCTTGCGACAAACACCCGTTCCTTACAATTATGATCACTGAAGTTTTAATCTGAGATTTTTGTACTGCCTCATTCACCACAATTATTGCAGTGTGCTGTACCCACCAGTGAGGTGTAGAAGGTCGACACCAGGCACACAATGATGATGCTGGCCCACGTCGGAAACCCAGTGACTGAAAACCATGCAATAAGTTCAGACATACACATACATACATACATACATACATACAAATACTTGTACAGCGCCAATATCGGTAAACCGCTCAAGGGCGCTTTGGCTCTAAGATGGTATTGATATCACATAGAGTTCAAATGCTTCAGTGAAGAGACAAGTCTTTAGATTTGATTTAAACACAGCTAAATTGTGTTGTGTTCTGAGGTGAGATGGGAGATTGTTCCAGCGATGAGGGCCAGACTTCTTTAGTGACCTGTCACCATATGTTTTTGTCCTAGTCACAGGAATTGTCAAAAGACACTGATGATTTGATCGGAGGGAACGTGCAGGAGTATAACGGTGGAACAGATCTCAGATGTACTGAGGAGCTTGACCGTGGATACTTTTGAAAACAAGGAGTAGATTTTTATATTTTATGCGGTAATGGACGGGAAGCCAATGAAGTGAGTGAAGAACGGGAGTAATATGGTCCGATTTCTTTGACTGAGAGATCACTCTGGCTGCAGTATTCTGTACCTTCTGAAGCTTATGTATAAGATCATTTGGAAGACCCACAAGAAGAGCATTACAGCAGTCAAGACGAGATGTTACACATGCCTGAATAAGAGATGCTGTAGTCTTGACGTCCAGGTATCGTCGAATCATGCCGACGTTGCGAATGTGGTAGTACGACCCTCTACAGATGTTATTGATGTGTGGCTCCATGGACAGTAAGTAGTGTGGCTCCATGGACAGGGAGGGATCAAAAATAACTCCCAAGTTACGCACCTCAGGCTTTGGCTGAATCTCACACTGACCGATGCTGAATTCAGGAAGAGTGATACAGGTTTGGAGACGCATAGGGTGGAAATCTGTTTTATCATCATTTTGTTTGAGGTGATGTGACGTCATCCAGTTTTTGATGCAGCTGACACACTCTTCAATGGTGAGAAATGAAGACACAGCTGATGAGGAAAGTAACGGATGAAAGTTATGTACACCTGAGTGTAGTCAGCATATAAATGTAGACAAAGATTGAAGGATCTGACGACATCACCTAGAGGAGATGTGTAAATGGTTAAAAGTAGAGGTCCAAGAACCGATCCTTGGGGCACGACGTAAACAAGATTCTTAGGACTGGAGACGTGACCATCAATGATCACAGATTGATGTCTACTTGATATGTAGGACACTGAAGAGCAGTGCCTCTAATACCCATCCTTGCCTCATGTGTGGGCATCATATAGTACGGTCAATAGTATCGAAGGCACTACTCAGATCGAGTAGAACCAATACTGCAGCAATATCTTTGTCAACAGCTCCCAGGATGTCACTGTGCACTTTAACGAGTGCGGTTTCCGTGGAGTGGAAATTCCGGTATGCTGATTGCACAGCTTCGAAACACCAATTTAAGGTCAAGTGTTCCTTGAGTCTTGTTCTGACCACACGTTTAATCAACTTTGAGGTGAATTGTAAATTTGTGACAGACCGATAATTTTTTTAGTGTTCTTGATCTAAACTTTTCTTCTTCAGGAGTGGAGTTACAATGCATCCGGCATCAAACACTTCTTACGCGATTTATTGACAACAGAGCTCAATATAGGGGCAAGGTATCCAGAGAGTTCTTAAGAAGCCATGTAGGTATCATACGTACCTTCTCTTCGTGCTGTGTATCCTACAACTGGTTATTAATGAAAAGAGTTGTGATAAAGATATGTTTTTGTCTCAGATTGAGTGATTTGGGTGTTACGTCTATTGTAGCATTCTTCCAGTAATATCACGGCAGGGGACACAAGAAATGGGCTTTACACATTGTACTCATGTGGGAATCGAACCCGGGCCTTCGGCTTGACTAACTGACTGTATAGCCACTGTCGCCCCTTTCTGTCTCAGATGTTCGGCATATGTATGACAACTGGTTATATCGTTGAAATGTAATCATGGTATCAGTTGCATATACACTTTGCTACGGGTGTCATATGTAAATATTCCGTTACAAGTCTCAGTTACGTTTGATTTACTGGCGTCCTCAAATTTCTTTTGCTTTGTGCAGGGACCTTCGTTTAAGAATGTATATTGGATTTTCTATACCTTAATTTACTGTAATAACAAATGTGAGTGACTTTGCAGTCTTATCCGAATAAAATGTGAACTTTTCATTTGCAGCGTTTTGTTTTAACTTAATAGATCTACATACCCGCTTCCAAGGCCGTTGATGGTGCAAACGATGCAACTCCCATATACAGCACCTGGAAGTGTCAGAATTATCAACGATGTATTTCAAAAACGCTGTTATAAATGGATATAAATATACAAGGAAAAACGTACTCACTCACTCACTCATGCATCCACTCACTCACACAACTCGTCACGATATGGCTGAAATATTGCCGATGTGACGTTAAATAATAACTCACTCACTCACTCACACAACCACACACCGAGTCATTCACTTACTCACATACTCTCTCACCCACACAATCACATACCAATTTACTCACTAGCTCATTAACTCAGCCACACACCAACACACCTAATCACTCACTCGGCCTCTCACTCACACACCAAACACACCCATTCACCAACCAACACACCTTTTCATTCACTCACTCAACCACTCACCCAAATAACCACACACACTCACACACTCGCCCACACACCAACATAACCATTCACTCACTCACCCACTCACCTCAACATAACCACACACACGCACTCCTTCCCTCACCCGCTCACACAAACACACACCCATTCACTCACTAACTCACTCCCTCGCCCTCTCACCCACACACCAACACACCCATTTACCCACCCACTCACACACTCCCACTCACCTACTCACCCACTCACACACTCCCACTCACCCAATCACACACTCACACGCTCACACACTCCCACTCACCCACTGACCCGCTTACACACTCACCATCTGCACTATCATGATAGATGTCCCTGTCAGCTTTGCGGAACGGGAGTTGAAGCGCTTCTCCAGATACTGAAACAACACAAGAATTGTAACGACAAGGTGTCGGATGTGTATTCGTGTGTCTGATAATGCTGTGAAATCCTGCCACTGAAACAACACAAGTAGTGTCACGGCAAGGTGAGGGTGTGTGTATTCGTGTGTCTGATAATGCTGTGAAATCCTGCCACTGAAACAACACAAGTAGTGTAACGGCAAGGTGAAGTGTGTGTATTCGTGTGTCTGATGCTGCTGTTAAAACCACTGAAACAACACAAGTAGTGTCACGGCAAGGGTGAGGGTGTGTGTATTCGTGTGTCTGATAATGCTGTGAAGTCCACTGAAACAACACAAGTAGTGTAACGGCAAGTTGAGGGGTATTCGTGTGTCTGATAATGCTGCGAAATCCTGCCACTGAAACAGCACAAGTAGTGTAACGGCATGTTGAGGGTGTGTATTCGTGTGTCTGATAATGCTGTGAAATCCACTGAAACAGCACAAGTAGTGTCACGGCAAAGGTGTGGGTGTGTGTATTCGTGTGTCTGATAATGCTGCCTGAAGTCCACTGGAAACAACACAAGTAGTGTAACGGCAAGAAGTTGAGGGTATGTGTATTCGTGTGTCTGATGCTGCTGTTAAAACCACTGAAACAACACAAGTAGTGTCACGGCAAGGTGAGGGTATGTGTATTCGTGCGTCTGATGCTGCTGCAGAATCCTGCCACTGAAACAGCACAAGTAGTGTAACGGCAAGGTGAGGGTGTGTGTATTCGTGTGTCTGATAATGCTGTGAAGTCCACTGGAAACAACACAAGTAGTGTAACGGCAAGTTGAGGGTGTGTGTATTCGTGTGTCTGATAATGCTGTGAAGTCCACTGGAAACAACACAAGTAGTGTAACGGCAAGGCGAGGGTGTGTATTCGTGTGTCTGATAATGCTGCGAAATCTTGCCACTGAAACAACGCAGAGTAGTGTAACGGCAAGGCGAGTGTGTGTGTATTCGTGTGTCTGATAATGCTGCGAAATCCTGCCACTGAAAGAATATGTCTGCTACGTGGTGCTCGTTCCTGCAACACTTTACTGTAAAGTGCTGGAGGAAATGCTTCGGGAGTCTGTCCACAGCATATGTGAGTTGTATACTCCCCAGGGATTTGAGATTGATAATACGATGTGCCGTTGAGATTGACATCCATTGATCGAGGGGGAAAATACCAGCGCCTTGAGCATGCACTAGTTGCCTGGATATGTGCGCTATATATAAATACCCTATATATATATGTGAGTGCATATGTTTCTTCTATACGTGTGTGTCCGCAGGTTATGTGTCTGCTACAACTGTTTCCCTGGAGGATATGTGTCTGATAAATTATATGTTTCTGCCTGCAGGATATGTGTCTTTTAGAGGTGTCTACCTTCCGGATAATATCTCCTATATTGTATTGTCCATATAGTGCTATTAGTTTTAACTTTCTACACTAGTTTTAATTCTAATTGTGATAGTCTAGTTGTTTTGCTGTCCTTTGTTGACAGGTTTTTATAATATATATATATATATTCCTGTTCAATGTCACATATGTTCTCGTCACGATATGGCTGAAATGTTGCCCGTTATGTGACGTTAAATATGAACTGCACTCACTTCACAAATATCAGCGGGATATTGCTGTCAGCTACCTGCATGTGTATATCTGCAGGATATGTGCCTGCTAACATGTGTCTGCCTGCATGATATGTGTTTGCTACATGTGTCTGACTGCAAGATATGTGTCTGCTGCAGGTGTCTGACTGCATGGATTTGAGTCTGCTACAGGTGTCTGACTGCAGGAATTGTGTCTACTACACGTGTCTATCTGCTGGATTTCTGTCTGCTGTCATGTGTCTACCTGCAGTATATGTGTGTCTGCTACAGATGTCTGCCTGCAGGATATGTGTCTGCTACATGTGTCTGCTACAGATGTCCTGCCCCTGCAGGACGTCTGTCTGCTACATGTGTGTCTGCTACATGTGTGTGTTCATGATATGTGCTACAGGTGTCTATCTGCAAGATTTCTGTCTGCTACATGTGTCTGCCTGCAGGATATGTGTCTGCTACATGTGTCTACCTGCAGTATATGTGTCTGCTACAGATGTCTGCCTGCAGGATATGTCTGCTACATGTGCCTGCCTGCAGGACGTGTGTCTGCTACATGTGTGTCTGCTACATGTGTGTGTTCATGATATGTGCTACAGGTGTCTATCTGCAGGATTTGTGTCTGCTACATGTGTATGTCTGCAGGATATGTGTCTGCTACAGGTGTTTGATCATGACAGCTGGTTACCACTGACGCTAATGTAATGCCGTCTAGTACTTCAGTGTGTAGTACACGAATGGATTAACCTAAATGAGTGAAAAGTGTGTCTGATAGCTGAAAAGAAAATGAACAGAGAATTGAACATCTTAAAGATAGACTAATAGACAGTATAAGTATATCAATCCGTCCTACATATACACAACAGCAACAGCAAATTTATCAAATGTGTATATCCGACATAATTATAGAAAATGTACATTGTTCACCTTTAATGTAATAGAAGATGAGTACCACTACCTTTTAACTGTCGATATTTTAACGAACAAGCAAAAGGTTTATTCCCAGCATTGTATTATTCATGTATATGATATCAATGTATGTACTTAACCATGAATACACCCGTATGCAAATATTATATGTCTCTTGTAAACCTCATGATGCTACATTGTAGCCTTGAGTGAATAATGTAATCTAATCTAATCGAAACAAACGCCCCAGGTCAGGTCCATTTGAGTTCTCTTGCGTACATAGCACCCAAGGTAGACTATACTTGTATAAATCACTGTGCCTGTCCACATACTGTCATCTTGTAAATCTCTGCCACACTTCAGAATCGCAGAAAGTGCAGTCGATGGAGATATACAGCTGTGTAAGTATATCGCGAACTGTCCCGAGTATGACCCAAGCAATATAAATGACAAAAGCCACGTCATCGAGTAAATCGCACACAAGTAGTACCCGACAACAATGACATCAGCACGTCATTCAAGATTTGCCGTGAACACTGATAGGATGTTGAGCTGACCTGGGATTCGAACCCAAACGAACATTTCCGATTCTTGAGATCGTCTTAATATTAGCATGACTGATCGAGTTCTGAATTTATTGATATATGGGTAGGTTGTGTTTGGTTTCTGATATCTAAAACGAAAATGAACGTTATATTAATCTTCCCACATGTGATTAATCGAATTCAAGTTTGACATTTTATCCACTTCCATTACAGATAATACGATCATATTGGACTCTGTTTGCGAAATTCCCATTCCATTCCATTTACATTTTTTGGGGTAAATAGATTTTGAAAAATCCATCAGCTCGGACACCGTCTACCACGGGCTGGTCCCTTGTTCGCTTGTTTATCCGTCAGCTGTAAGGCCAAGCAGTTGTTCAAATGGGTGTTGTAAACCGGTGTAAATAAGGAAAAAACGGCCATTTTGTTTCCTGGTATGATGCACCTGGTCTAATGTTCAAACACCCTTGTGACCTCTTCAGGTAAGTTGAAAACAGATCATTGACCTGATTACAATGGTAAGGAATAGGTCTAGAAGTATGACCTCATATCGGTGGTCAATCACCGCTCATAACGGTATCTTCCCATTATGACGACTCCCAGTTTGACTTCTCATGAACATGAACGTATACTGACTGACTGAGTTTGGTTTTACGCCGCTTTTAGCAATATTCCAGCAACATCACGGCGGGGCACACCAGAAATGGGCTTCACACATTGTGCCCATGTGGGGAATCGAACCCGGGTCTTTGGCGTGACGAGCCAACGCTTTAACCACTAGGCTACCTCACCGCCCCACATGAACATATAATGGAGCACACCTACACTTAACACTGTACTGTACCTGTATAGCTGATCACTTCCGGTTTGTCTGTTTAGGTTTATAGACCCAAAAAGGGAGACTCATACTGGTGACTGTGCTGTAGGCGTCCACCAATGATACACACTAATCAGGTAAGTGCACTGTAGGCACCCAGACAGACAGGTTGTATTTAGTAGCTAAGGCCCAGGGGCCCAAAGTACAACTGAAGTTGCTCAATTACAGCTATTGGTCATGTGACATGAAATTATGGTTTTACATGTGATTTACGGATGGACATCAAATGTTTAATGAAAATGGCAACAGATCTGATAATATCAACATTATTAGAATTAAGTACATGATATACTGAAAGGCAAACGAAACGCAAGTGCAGCCTATAACATTTTCAGAAGTCAATATAGAACGGATACATGCATACAGGTTAGCAGTTGCAAAGGTCATTTGGTCCAAAAATGTTTGGCTGTAACATTCATGGAGACTTGGATGATCAGGTATTAAGGTCACAAGGTCACAAAAGTCAGTACCCTGTGTGACCGACATTTGCATTTACCACTGCGGCACAACGCCTGTACATGGAATGCACCAAATTGTTGGTAAAAGTTCAGTGGGATGTTGGTAACTGTCTGTGGCTGCTCGAAGTTCAACAGCATTTGTTGGCCTTGGACGAACTTGGTTCAGTCGTCTTTGAGTTTTGACCAACAAATGTATAATTGGGTTTAGGTCAGGACTCATGGATGGCCAGGGTAGAACAGCAGTGTTGTGATGTTCAGATGTTGTTGTGTTACCCTTGCAACATTCGGTCTCCCATTATCATGCTGGTAAATGTGGTTCTGATGTCTGTCAAAAAATGGCACAACATGGGGTTGGAGAGCCTGATCAATGTACCACTGAGCATTCACACCATTCCCCCTCCCAGGATCAATATTCTAAAACACAACTGGCCCTAGTCTCTGGTTGTAGCCAATACCTGCCCATGCCATTACATTCGGGTCGCCCCATGCGTTCCTTCACATCACACACTGATCAGCATAACGTTGGCCTCTTCTTCGCCATGTGTTGACACGTCCGTCAGCATGGGAAATACCGAATCGAATCTCGTCCGAGAAGATTACACGGTTCCACTCTTT